AGTATTCACCATCATGAAGACAAAACTTAAGAGAACGATGGGCATGATTTCTTGGGAATATTTTGAATTTGAAAACAAGGCAAACTCATCACATTTGTTCGGATTAAGAAGTAGTATGTAACGTGCAAACTAGTGGAAACGAGAGTACTAAAATAATATATATATATATATATATATATATATATAAAGGCTATTAGGGAGAAAAAGGGGAATAGTTAATAGAAAGGTGATAATTGACGACATGCAAATAATAAAAACAGTTTGTTTTTAGATACTTTACTGTGGTAATTCTTTGAGCGAGTACAGTACGAGTTTTCTCTAGTCTTATTTTAATTACTTAATGATCAATGACAATCATTAAATTTAAATGTAAACATTATTTATATATTTTTTGTTTACATCTTTGTTCTTACTTATAGAGCGTAAACGTTATTTATGTGACATACTTCTTGAACATCTTATAATTGACTCAGAATTCAAAATATTAATTAATACAGAAATGCTGGACCGATCAGTTATTATTAACAGTAAATACTTATCGGACCACATATATTATTAGTATAATAAACTACTATTTACGAATATCTACATTTAATAATGGCGAATAAGAATGGCTATAAGTTTCCACTTACAGGTTAATGAGAACTGTATTCCTTTATCTAGCATAACATTACATAATAAAAGTACAAGTATAAATATTTTGAAAATATATATTATATGTTTTCATAGTTACTTTATTTTTCTCTAGGTACCTAATTTGGCACTTCTTTGTTAAACTAATTGCAAAAATTTTAAAAACATAATTTTAAAAATGCCATCAATTAATTTTTGTTGGTTAAAATATTGAGTTGTACCTCTTTGATCCCTTCTGAATGTCGTTTTTAAAACAACACTATGTATGTGTGTCGGTGGCCATAATTATTAGCATTTTAATTTTTAAATTCTTGATCTTTGTTTTTGATTGATTCCCATTGAAGACCCTCAATGGGATACTTTTTATAATATACATCATTCACCCTCTCAGACAGTGATATGGGATAATTAAGGCGTAAATGTTCCTTAAAACCGAATTATTTTATACGTATTGTTCAGCTTTTAATTCAATGTATGAATGGTCGTCAAATGATACTTATTATTAGATGCTGAGAAATAAATCTTCTAACGCCCTCTACATATTATTTTGAAAATAACACAATATTTTGACGCCTTTTTACTTTCAAAATAACTCTCTTCCATAGTTTAGGGATAAAAATATTAAGATATTTACAAATTATTACATTCTTGTTAATTTTATAATCCTTTTCACATTATGGTGAGGTGAATGTATAGTCAAAAGAACTAGTTAAGTCCATGGGCAGCAAATTTCAGAGAAATGAAAAGGAATTTCGCGGATCCAGCTATAAAGCATCAAACAAATGACATCATCTTGCTGGACAACCGAAAAATAGTTGAAAACTATGCATAGAATGAACTTAGCAGTGCTCCCGTGCCACCGCCAGTAGATTTTCTAGGCTGCGGTTTCGGCGATGCCTGGCGCCACCATAGCAGTGATCGCTGGCGGGGGATCGTCGGAGCGGCGAACGCGGTGACTAGAGAGGTCCGTATCTGCAACAGATTGTTCGAGATTACTCGTCACAGGGGGGGGGGGTCAGGGACGAAGAATAGGGAGAGACATTGCGGTCCGGAAGCGCCCAGTCTGGGTCCCAATCACTAGTTCAATGATGGGGATGTAAGAATTTTGGCAGTTAATTAATTTATTTATGAAAATAGGATCCAATGGATGTGATACTGTACTTGCTCAATATAGTCCAGTTTTGAACCTTTCAAGTGAGTTTTCGCATTAATAAACAGGAAAGTTCGGAGCTGGCAAATCTCGTTAATGAGGTGTCGTTTATGGCGCAACTCTGAAACTTGCCATACGGGTTTGGACATTCCAAAACACTTATCCAACTCAGTGCTGACTTACCGTATGTCTTCTGAATTAATTCAAACGCCTTTATCATTTTAAAAAAATGGGATCTACAGCAACATTTTATTGGCACCCGGATCTATTTGCCAAGTCAGTCACGAACACATAACATCACAATAATCATACTCTGCTCTCTGCAACAATGGCTATATTGATGTTTGTGGGAAAGGATTCAAACTACACAGTAATACAACCGATACTTCGTAGATAAGGTTATTGCGAAGGCTGCAAAATGTCCGTTCTGGAACTTGCGGTTCGAACTATATTCAAACGATGTATTTGTAATCACCATCAAGGGGGTCATCAATAAAGTTTTCTTAAAGAACCGATATATTTTTTTCGTTTTTATTTGTAAACATAAAAGACTAACTACTAACTATACATACTAAAAGAGTATAAAATATATAGGTAGATTCAGAACATGTACAGAAATTAATGTTTACAGTGTTGATAAGAGTAATAGTGGAAGATTAGTTCAAAAAAGGGTTAAATGATTCGGCAGTAAATATTACCGCTTCGGCTGGCGAACAATGTGACAACACCGTTCTTATCCCGCCGTTTTCAAATGAATTCAAGGTAAATCATTTTGAGGCAAAACAATAAATCATGATTATAAATTTAAAACAAATTGTTCAATTCGTTTCTGAATATTGGATTTTTAAGTCATTCATTCTTCCTACATCCAGGTGTGAAAAATCCTGTATCTATTACGTTTATGATGAATATAGGAGGTCAAAAATAATATTTTGGAAAGTGGCTCTACTTTTAGTAAACTTTACAATAATTATTGTATCAAGTATTGGGTCATGAAATGTCAACTACATCTAATTATATTTCAGAAAATATTAGTTATTAGTTTGGTTTGTAAGTTTTGAAATGGATGTGAATTAGAAATTCCTTATAATCGCTAATTAAATGGAAAATAATATTTACAAAAATAAACAAAATCAAGTTGCAGTTCCATAAAATATTTACAACATTTTTTTAAAAAGGAACTTATCCAATTCCCTATTATTCAGTTACTTCATTTGGTTAAAGTCTGCACTGCGTCAAGTCAATTCGGTGTTCTTCAATGAGCTTATCTGAGTGTTTATTGTTTTCTTCAACTTCTTTTTATAGCAACTGACATATTACCTTCGCAAATTCGTTTACGATTCGGCAGTTAATCGTTGGTACGTTGTGGTTAATTTGAAAACAGACGCATCGTTTCAGAGCGTACAATAAAAATTCAGTTGCAGGCGCAGGTGGCACAAGGTGCTTTATCACATCTCGCCGCCGTTAAAATCCTTGGACCAACTGGTGCTGAGAGTGAAACGTGTTCATCTGAATCATTCAATTTCCCTCCGTTCAATGATAAGTTAATAGTCAGGTATTCCCAACCATTTTATTTTTTCGACTACTTTTAAAAGAATGGTATGCTTCATCGACCCCTTTACGTTTTTTCCAACAATATACAACAATTTATTTTCATAACGCAAATAGTGACACACGATTAAAGAAGGTTAATCAAAAAATTAACAAAAGTTTTGGGAAAAAAATTGTATGTTTTATAGTTTTAAAAATATTTTTAATTTTACAAATATAAATGTTATGCATTATAATCATAATGTTTTCAGAACAAAAATCGCGGATCCTGATGGCACAAAAATATAAATTTAATTCATGTGAATGACAGTTAATTTGTAAAAGCCTCTAATTTGCATTTTGTTATAAGATAAAACATGAATAATAAAAAATAGTTGAAAATTATTATTATTATTATTATTATATTATTATAATATTATTATTATTATTACAATTAATGAGATATTCATCTAGATTATATCCATCAGTCACCGGTACTCGACTTCAGACCACCAATCAACCCCTAGATCGTCGTCGGCCCCCAGACTCCCTTTAAAATTTCATCGACCCCCATTTGGTCGATTCCAGATCCCGTTGGAAACCTCGCATATAGACAGTGGACACGACAATTTCCTTCTTACGCAGGTAACTATCACTTGCAGTTATTTAAAATCCACACTGACGGTTGATGTATTCGTTTCAAGCATGTAGTGATCACTTCACGCACAACACCATTACATTCTGAATTTGTTATCAGGATTTTTCACTTGTACTCGACCTTTACCTTTTTTGATGTGAGAGAAGCTATAATGAGATTGCTGGTCAAGCTGAAGAGCAGGCTATATAGTCTGAGGCTCGCCACTCAATAAGGCAATTTATTGTAATTTATTTTGTTATGATAATGGGGTGGATGAAGATGAACCAAATACGGAAAGAGAAGCAGGGCGAATGAGAAAACCCGAAGTACAGTGCCGCATTCTCGCTTTATCAGCCTCAGATTCCACACGAAGTGATCTGAATCTGAGCGCTAGTGCCCAGATGGGTACGTTAACGTTCCTCCCGCACTTGGGTCTACCGTCGGCTCTTAACGGGGCCCCGAGGGAAACCAGGTCCGACTGGAAGAAGCGCCAATAAAAAAACAGACATAAATCTCCCCCTCAGTGGGCTCAGCCCTGCACCGCTCACCGTGCGGGGAAGGCAGCAGTTGCTGTGCTCCCCGCCCATCCCGCCCAAGCACCAGTCGCCACCACCATCACCACTCACCGTGCGTGGGTCTTGCGAGGGCCGCAGCCTGCGCCGAACCGCGGACTGACGCGCTCCCGCCCATACCACCACCACACGCACCTTGCGTGGAGGACCCAGATTGCTGCACCCCACTACCCATCCCGCCCTAGCACAGCCTCTACTACCATCACCACAACTACCGACCTTCACCACCACTGCATCGTGCATGGAGGGCGCGCAGCTTGCTGCGCTCCCCGCCCATCCGCGTCTAGCACCATCCACCAACACCATCACACCAACTACCACCATGCATCACACTCACCGTGCGTAGAAGGACGGCGCTGCGCGGGCCGCCACTGCCGCGCGCCCCACCCATCCTGCCCCAGCACCAGCCTACCGCAGCGACCGTCCGCACCGCGCCGCCACCTAACCGGAATGTGCCCCGTGCGGCGCAAGGGCAACGCTAGCGGCTGCGGCCGCGCCGCGACGCCCCGGCGCCGCACCTCCGCGCGTCGCCGCCTTCCAGCCCCGCCACCCCGCCACCTCTGCACAGCGCACGCGCTCGCCGCCACAGGTGCACGATGCGAGTGCGGTAGCGCGGGGTGGAGAAGGTGTAGAGCAGCGGGTTGAGCGCTGAGTTGACCGGCAGCACCAGCACCACCACCCACGCGTACACGTCCGCTGCCGAAAGACACGCACCAGGGCATCAGTTTGCGATGGACAGACTGGTTTAACAGGGTATACACCCAAGCGCGGTCAGTGAACGCGAACTGTCAGACGTCGGACATCCGCCAAATTAGCTTCCATTACATCTAATGAGGGAATTTCGCGAATGTTTGGTAGTTACTAAATTTGGAGATGAATGCTTATTTCTATAGAGAATTCAATAAGTACCTCTCTAGTCATCCTCTGAAACGCTGTAATTTTATTTAATACTTATCTTTGTCTAATTCTCAAAATCATAACTCTGAAATAATGTGGAGTACATATTTTTAAAAGATACGGTAACCCTGCTCTATGTCTAATTCCAACTCTTCCAGGTTGGTAGCAAATTTCTCTTCACAGGGAAACCTGAGAGGCATCTAAACGCTTCAGCTAGCAGCTAAACGAGAAACCTCTAATTGTTTGAACGTGTGAGTGTGTGTGTTGAATTCAGGCTCGGGAAGATGTTCATCAGCGGATTGAGCGTGGAGTTGACTGGTAGTACTAGCACCTCCGACCACGCTTGCTCTCTCTCTGACAGTGGGCTCACATCCACATATAGGCATCAGCGATGGAGAGAGTGATTGCAATAAATAATACTTTTGAAGTATACGCTTAAGTACGATCACGAAACGAGTATTCTCAGGCATTCGGACATTCACGAAGTCAAGTTGCAAAATAAGTCGCTAATGAGGAGGATTCGCGAAGGTTCGGTTGTTCCTAAAATGGGAATTTTATGCTTGTTTCTGTGGTTGATTCCCAAAGTCTGACCTCAGTCATCCTCATGAACACCAAAGAGTCAAAACATAATATCTCTCTTAATGGTTATGGTAATAGATTTTTATGTCAAAAAAATTACTGTCAAGCAGCGAAAGATGTTTTAATACATATTTAGTAACGGAAACATGTTTTTGTTAAAAAATCTATCTATACTTCCTGGAATGTAATTTTTCCCCAACTGTAAAGAGCTAAGTAATACGCCAGATTTCTCAAAATGATATTTGAAAACAAATCGAATCTCCCGCATTAAGAATTCTTATGACATTAGAGTTCCCACGACAACTCATATAAAATAACTTCAATAATTTCATTCCATAATAACCACCAAATACTCCCTTTTAAAAAAACACTCAAATATCATTTTCTATACTCATAATTATTCGTGGGAGTACAATTCTCATTTTTACCACCATATTGCAAGACTGTACCCTATCTCTAGGTAATTGCATCCTCCGAATCGACTCTCTTTCTCCAATGTGTCTCTTCAGTACTCAATTAAACTGCAGTTTGTTTCCAAGAGATGCTGCATTATACCGAGAGTTGACCACGCTCACGGTGTAAAATGTATATTAACCCGCCGTATACAGCGTTTACGCCATGGTTTATTACGTTTTTAATAACTAGTCTTCCACGTTACGGCTCTGCGAAGTTTAACGTCGCTGCACCACACACTTGATCGCCCTTCGACGCGTCAAAAGCACGCCGCTTCTCACTAACACCTTCACGCTAGTCCTAGGTGACCTTCTCTAACAAAGCATCGCTGCTTCGTGAAAATGAAAAGCTCAGACTTAGCGTTTCAGAATATATTTGAATATGCCAAAGAGATGTCAGTACGGAAGAGTATTGATATTTTTAAAGCTAATTTTACTTTTAATACATATGTTTGATGTTTTATCTACCACCGATAATATATTTATATTTGGAATTTGTATTTTTATAAAAAATTATTAAAATCAGTTATTTATCAATTGCCTCTATTGTAATTTATACTTAAATTTATTTTAACAGTTGGTATGCAACATTCTAAATAGTATAAGGAAATGTTTCTTGAAGGATAATTCTGATCTGTAAAACTGAGGAATCAGATAAAGAGTACACTCACAAATATCGTACATAGAGATTTTTTCTAAAAATGGAACATTTGTCTAAAAATGAAAATGACATTTCTGTGAAGTAAAGGACTAAACATGTGACAAGAAATATTAATAAAACTGTAACTCACAATCTAAGTACAAGAATAAATAGAAGCAAAAGCTCTCAATTCTGGCTCGGGGAACTACACAATTTGAAAGTTGAACGATTAAAAGAATTGATAATAAAATGAAGAAAGAATGAGAAGAGAAGGAAGAGACAGACAATAAAGAGAAGGAAGATGGGTGAGGAGAAATAAAACAAGCTAAAGACAGAAAGAGAAGATGGAGGAGAAAAGAAGAGAGATATAGGGGGTACAGAAGCAGGAAAAAAAGAGGAGAAATTGCAGAACAACAACGACGGAGATGAACAACCAGAACAACAAATATAGATGAGAACAAAGAAGATGGAGGAGAATCAGAAGTGGAAGATGAAAAAAGATGGAGAAGAAGAAAGATGGAGGAAAACAAGAAAGATCAAGGGGACCATTAATATGTTGGGAAAGAAGAAATATGGATAGGAAGAAGAAAAATGGATAGGAACAAGAAATACGGAGGACAATAAGAAATGTGGATATGGGCATGAAAAAGTGAGAACAAAGAAAAGAAGGGGAGCGTCAAAGATGAAGGAGAAGAAGAGTCAAAAGAAGAAAGATAGAGATGAGCAGAAGAATGCATATGGAGGAGAACAATCAGAACAATAAAGGTTTGTTGGAGTTGTAGGAGGAGGAGAAGGAGAAGATACCCAAGGCGTGGCGTGGCGTGGCGTGCGCACCTGGCACGTGTCCCCTGGCGAGTGCGAGCAGCTTAAGCGCGGCGACGGGCACCCAGCAGGCGGCGTCCGTCAGCACCAGCAGCAGCACGCGCAGCGCGATCTCCAGCTCGCGGCTGCCGCGCTCCGCCGACGCCGCCACCGCCGCGCCCGCGCGGCGGCGCGTGCGCCACACGCTCACGAACACGCCCAGGTACAGCGCGCCCATCACCACCATCCTGGCACGTGCACGGTCGAGGGCTCCAGGGGCTACCCCGTGCGGAAGATACGGGTGAGCTAGCACGGCGAACCTATTTTTGTGCGTTCACGTCACGAACCACGTGATCACGACACCGGCACTTCGTTTGAAAAGCCAGACCAGTCGCTGGCCGCCATGTTGCATGGAGATCGGGAAGTGTTGAGAAACATTTTGAAAGTGGCAATTTTCAAAAATGACCAAAAAATAACGCGTACGTGTACAAGATGCAATTTTTAAAAGAAATTCTTCATTTATATCCGTTTAAATAACTTGTAGCAAGGTGGTAATTTTTGTAACTGGCCTTATTTGAAATTCTCGCTAATACTGTAATTCAAGTGGTGCATGAAGCTCATTGGCTGAAGGCTGCGCTATAGCTCACCCATGTCTTTTCACCATTAGACGGGAAAAATATGTAAAATGAAGCGTTGAAATTTGTACATAAATATGTAATGAAAACAGTAATAATACGTAATAAATATGTAAAATCGGACAAAATATGTAATAGCTCACTCGTCTTTTCACCATTAGACGGGAAAAATATGTAGAATGAAATGTTGAAATTAAAATACACTAATTATACATTTTTATCATACAAAATTATATTTATAAAAAATTTCCTAAACAAATTTTAAAAAGAATACAAACATTTTAAAAATCATTTGGAAAGTACAAGTTTATTCACACATACAACTTTCTCATCACTAGTAAATGCTTCATCTATTGCTATCCAGAACCGTAATTTAGCAGCAATAGAAGCCATTGTACAAACTAGCGCTATCTACGACCAGGCAACAATTCTATTTATTTATTTATTTATTTATTTGATTGTTTTGTATATAGTTCAGTTTTTTGTAACTTTACATATGTATTGATGACATAACTTATCCTAAACTTATCCTAACTTAATACTACTACAGAAGTTGAGGAAACCATAATGGCACCTCATAGGAACTATTCCAGATCTGAAAACAATTTACAAAATATGTGGAATGGATATTTATTTTTTATGCGAGTGGGATGGATGGGGTTTTTGCAAAGTTTGAATGAAGATGAGGTTTGGATATGATGTATATTTGAGAAGAAATTGTGGGATATGTAGGTGATGTGGTGCATGATGGGATCGAGGTTGATGATTAGATATGAACCAGGGTGCATTAGTGATTGTCCGGAGGAAATGGTTCAGTACTATTTGAATTTTGTTGATGTTTGTTTTTGCAGCATTGATCCATACTGGGCAGGCGTGAAGTAGAGTAGGTCTGATTATTGTTTTGAATAAAGTTATTGCTGTTTTGTATGGGAGGTAATTATTTCTATTTATTAGAGTTTTGTTTTTAGTTTGTAGAATTTTCATGTCTATGTGCTAATTTCCCATTCAGTTTGCTGTCCATGTGCATTTCAAGATATTTTATGGGTTTATTTGGTGGGTACCATGGGATGGGCTCATTATTTAGTGTTGTGAATGTGTATTTAGTGTAGTGGGGTTGGTGAAGTGTATGGTATTAAAGATAATATTTTAGCTGCAGTTTTGTTTAGGTTTAATTTTAACTTTAATTTGGATGACCAACTGTCTATTTGGTTTAGATACAATTGTATGTGGTTTTTAATATTGATTAGAGAGTGACTGGAAGAGAAGATAAGTGTGTCATCTGCAAACTGTGCTGTTTTTACTGTTTCATCTATTGGGATGTCTGCTACATAGAGATTAAACAATGTGGGTGATAGGGGGATCCTTGTGGTAATCCTGCTTTCATTAACCTGGGATTTGATTGATAGTTGTTGATTGTTACTGCAAAGGTTCTGTTGGATAAATAGTTTTGAATTACTGAGCTGATGTAGTGTGGAGTGCCTGCTTTCTTTAATTTATATATTAGTGCCTGGTGCCAGACTATCAAATGCCTGTGTTATTTCGAGTGATATGAGTATTGTATGATGCTTTTTCTGAAATGCTGTGTTGAGATGTTCTGTGATTCTGAGGAGTTGATGTCGTATGGACATATGATCAGTGAATCCAAACTGCTCTTTTGGGATTTCTTTTGTTATTTGTCGGTGCTTTTTAAGTCATTAGAGTATTATTTTTTCAAAAATTTTAAGCAGAGATGGTAGAAGGCTTATCGGGCGATAGCTGTTGGCTGAATTTTTATTTGGTTTCGGAACCGGAAGAATGATGGCATGTATGGAAAATGATTTGTTCTGAAGCATGAATTGAATATATTTGTTAAGTATGCAATTGCGGGTCTGGTAAGTGTTTTACCTATTGAATTATTGATATTATCATGACCAGGTGCTTTTTTTATCGGGAGAGAGTTAATGATTTGTTTTATTTCTTGAATGTAATGCATTTTGAGATATGGGCCGTGGTTTGGGAGGTTTATTGTCTGTATTATTATGTTGTGTTCCGGGTGCGGTTTAGATTGGTTGAGTGTAAAAGTAATTGGCTATTTTCTCTGCCTTGGCGGTGGAGGTGAATAACTTGCCTTTCCGTGAGTAGATGGGTGGAATTATTGTTTTCTTTTTTTAGTATTTTTTTGGTGAATTTCCAAATATAGTTGTTTTGTGCTGTTAAAGATTATATCGTGTTCTGGAATTTGAGATTTATATGATTTTTTATTGATTCCTTAATTATATTAGTTAATATATTTAGTTCTGCTTTTGGGGTGGGTTTGTGGTTTGGTTCTTTAGTCTTCTGGTCCTGTTATTGACTCATATTATGTTTTTGATTTCTGCAGGTAAGGCAGAATGATTAATTTTGTTATGTGTTTGTGTATTTGTGGGCTGCATTTCTGTTATTGCTGTATGTATTATGGTGTTTAGTAATATTACAGCGTTGTCTATTTCTATAGAATTATATAAAATTTTAATTTTTGGAATTAAATTGCTGGTTATAATCTGGATATTAATCCAGTTTAATTTAAGTGTGTTTATTTTGGGGATTGGGGATCACGGGGATGGGATTTGTCGAGTTGGTATATTTACCGGAAGATGGTCAGAGTCGAGTTCGTGATACGATGTCAAGAATGTCTGATTGCTTAGTTACGTCTCTTGGATAGTATGTTGGTTCAGGAGGCGATGTATATTGATATTGGTAATGTTTATAATTTGTGATAGTATTTTTCCTGCTTGATTGCAAGTGCGACATCGCCAGTATGTGTGTTTAGCGTTTAGATCACCTAGTATTAATGTGTTTTTGTTTGGGATGAATAGATTAAGAATATTTTGGGGTTGTATTTTTATTGCTGAAGGTTTATAGGCAGGTATTATATTCCATGATTATTATGAGTTATTATATTCCATGAGGGTTATTGCTATTGTTTCAATTCCTGTGATGTTTGGTAACTTCATGATGGATTACATTATTCCTGACTGCAATAAGTACACCACCTCCTTTATATTCGGTTCTGTCATTTCTATAAATTTTGTATTCTGCAATGTAAAATTTATTACTATGGTTTAGGTGCGTCTCTGTTATACTCACAATGTCTTTGTTATATGTGTGTAAATAATGAGTAAGTTTTATTTTTTTTGGATGTGATCCCAATTGCATTCCAATTTGTTAATGACATATTTCTATGGGCTTGTATTGACATTATTGTTATTAAAAAATGCTGTTATTAAATGTTATTAAAATGTATTCTGAATTGTACTGATTATTGATGGTATGATGAAGTTTAAAAAGCTAATAATACAGGACGGTATCTAATTATTTATTTATTTAAAAGGGGATTATTATTATTATTATTATTATTATTATTATTATTATTACTATTATTATTATCTTGTTGGTATTATTGAGTACGGTTTCTCTGTGATCTCATATTGTTAACGAATCCTGATTGGTTTACATGGTGGTTGTTCCTAGTGAAGTCACGGATTGGCTGAGTACGGGATAGTGATGCAAATTGTTCTTATTGCTTGCTAAGGGATGATGGTGGTTTTCTTTGGTATGTATTTTTTGTGTTATTTGGTGGAGTGGTTTTCTTTTCAACAATGCCCTTATAGTATAAACAGTTCTCATTTCTTACATCTGCACGGTGATTGTCTTTGCAGAGAATACAGGTGGGGTTTGCTTTACTTTCAGGACAAGTTACAGTATAGTGATTATCAGAACATTTTGCAAAGTTGATTTTGTGATTGCAATTGTTTCTAGAGTGTAAAAAGTCCAAACATCTATAACACTGTAGACTATACATGTTTGCATCTATAGCACTGAACCTTTTGGTCCTTTTCTTATTTTGATGGTGACGTTGAAGTTGCAGATTTATTGTTGAGTATTGTTTCCAGTGGTTCATTGTCGTTGAACTCGGCTGCTACTACAGGAATGGGATGGCTGTCCTTCTGAAGACGGGTGATTTTAACAATGATGGTTGTCTGTTTTAAATCGTTCATGATTTCACTGTCAGTTATGGAGAGGTGGACATTTTTGAATACTATCAAAAGTTTTTGTTTGCACGGTCTTTATAGAAGTGACATCTTCTATTTGTGTTGATTAAGTATTTTATGATTTTACGGAAATCTTCAGCTGAGCCGGGATTTATTTTCACTTTGTTGTTTTTTTGTTTAGCTACAAAGTTTTTGATACGTTAATTTTAATTTCATTAATGAATTAGTTGATGTTAGTTATCTCGGCATTAAAAATTGGGGGTATTTTATTGGTTGTAGTAGACTGAAGATTGATCATACTTGAAGCGGTTATTTGGGGGAAGAGAATTGGTTTCCTTGGAGGATAATTCCGCAAATATGTTACCTACTGGGACATTGTATGAAGATTGCAAGTCTATATTCTCATTTCTGTAGTTGAAGTTTTGGGCTACGGAAGCCTTATTAGGACATCGTAGCCGTCTGTGGGTGGGTGCACTGGTTAATCTTGGTTGTAGAACCTTTGACCATAGTCACTGGCACATGTACTTGCACTGTGTTTTTTGTTATCGCTGTTGGAAGCGTCCTCGCCTACTGACCTTTTTCTTTGGTTGACGCTGGCTTCTACTTCACGTCGGCTACCTAAGGTTACTAGCGTTGTACCTTGCGATGGGTCTTCACAACATGAAGTTTCTGATGTAGAAGATTCCATGGCTGAATCCTCGTTCGTGGCACTTTTACAGTGTGGTAGGTAAATTGATGAAGTTGCTTTGGGGAATACCGCTTGAGTTGTGTAAGTCGTAAAGAGCATTGCTGACTACGTTGCCTGTTGATTGTTTCACATCGAATGCTATTGGTGATAGTTATTCAATGGAATGGATTAACACTATATTTCACTTATTGCACTTATTACAAGAAGCACTTGAAATATAAACTGTTTTTTCGGCATCGAGCGGGCCCGTACCGACGCTAGCGTACCAATTTTAACGAGCGCTCTGCGATGTGAACGGCTCGGTGGACGGGACTTGAATACCCAGGCAACAATTATTGCAGCGCGAAGCGTTCTCATCGAAGTCATTATACGTCAGCGATAGCCAAAGATTTCCGGAAATCCAGGTTAATGATCACGAAAAGCAGCGTCAGTGGTACTTTGCACACCTAAAGGTGAAAATGATCTCAGTCGCTGACGCGCATTTTCCGCCATTGAAATAATTGAAGCAGGCGCACAGAACTATGAGAATATCCGACACTGTCTTCATGCAGCGTACCTCGAGAACACGCCAAGCAGTGTTAATGTAGAAACAAATTGCTTGTTTGTTTTTTTTCGAAAATACGTTTCTTAAAAAATATGCATAAAATTAAAGAAAATTGATAGAATAAAAAATATTTTGTGAAAATAGCAAAATACGTAAAATATGTAATATAGTACTAAATATGTAAACATATGTAACGAAAAAATTGGATATTCTGTTACGACGGTGATAATTGACCAAGAATACAATTTTGAGAACTGTAAGAAGAAAAACAACAAACATGTAATTACATAAAAATCCGGTCTCTATTCCTGGGCTAACCGCACACAGAGTTACACAGAGTGTCTCAGAATAAACATCTAGATTGATTAATTATTTCGTGTTTTCGAGCGCATCAAGTGCTATGACCATTAGTTCCTTAAGTGTAGTGCATCCCTTGAGTGTAATGCAAGACAGCGTTCTTGTCTGAACCTAGGATCCCAGCCGCTTCAGAATTGAACTGAAGATGGCCGAAATGCGACCGAAAAAGGCTTTCTGCGAAAATAAAAACGTACGACAAAACAACGCCTCAAATCAATTATGATACAAATTTGTAACTTCTACACCACTTCCTACCATTGTGATCCAGTATTTCAATATTATTAGGGACCCTATTGGGTGATCGTTCTTAGGGTCTCAGCCTACTAATGGAAGTGTAATTTACTCGAATATTTGAAACCTTACGATTTTCGTAGCGGCCTTTTTCATGAACTAATGCATTATTCACATGCGGAACACGTATTCCAATGTTAGAGGCAAACGATCGAGAAAGAAAACAAATAATTAGTTATTGAAAATATCCTCTCATAAATAATAAAGTAAACTTCAGCGTAACGTGTACTACGAATATGCAGATATAATGCAGACAAAGCACACATAAATATTAGATATACATTTGTGAAAACTGTACTGTCTGTTCTTACAAAAAACGTTATACTCATGAGCATACGTGGTCTATTTTGCCCATAGATAACATTTTTACTTAGGGCACTTATTTTATTTTCCAGTCAAAAGCATTTGTATAATTAATATCAAGGCTGAAATTGATTGTTGGCACCGCTGCTTCTGACAACTGTTATTTCCTATAAAATGAATAGGAGTACCATTAAAAACTACATTGACTCACCCCGGAATGTTAACTCCTAGGACGATGAATGAAGAGTATTGCCAACCTTGCATGTACGGGTCTTCAATATGCAACGGGAAGCAAAGTCCATTGGTACCATAAAAGCGATTTGAGTGGCGCCACTGTATTGCTGCAAAAATGTATTATTGATATCATTATTCTAATTTTTTCAACCATTCTTCATTTTCCTCTTTCACAAGAGGACCTAGTATTTTAAAATTAAAATAATTTTCGTAAAATCCAAAATTTGTCAGTCAAATTTTTAAAAATAATTCCGCATTATTTAAAATACAAAAGAAAGTCAATCTAGTTTCTTAAGATGTCTTTGTAAGCACGTTCATTAAAAAAATAATCCACTAGACAAAATTTTAGTCAAATTTGTGTCACTTTCTGGGTAAACGAATATTAACAACATATGATACATTTAAAGCTTTAATTTTTTTTTAAATGAGAAAAATATAAAACACTTTTGATGACGTGCCAAAAACAAACGAAAGACGGACAATACAGACAGAAACGATAATATTCGGGACAGAATTAAAAATAAATAGAGACAAGAAGATTAGAGAGACAGTGAGGACAGACAGAGAGACAGAGACACACAGGATTGAAGAGGATTAACTATGAGTAAAAAAAAAAGATGGATGAAAAGGCAAAATGACTTTAGTCTGATTTGTCTGTTTTGTATGTGGAACATACACAGATGACTGAACAGACAAAATGGCTAAAAAGAAAAGTGGAAGGTTTCGTTAATCGTAACAATGGGAAGACACATACTTCGATAAAAAATAGTAAGTCCTTTCAAGAGCTGAAAAGAGAAGGACGCAGCCATTCAAGCACGAGCTTCAATATCAAAAATTAAAGTCTTAAGGAAGCTTGTGATTGGACGACAGCCCTTGCAAATCTCCTGCCAAATTGTGACCTTGAAAGGAGTTCCTGTTTTAAAGGAAGTATAATTCCGAATGTTGCTGCCCACACAGAGAGCGCGTGCGGGAGGGCGGGCGCGCGCGCGCGTCACCAACCGGGCAGCGCGGCGAGGAGCAGGCCCAGGGCCCAGATGGCGGCCAGCACGCGGCGGGCGACGCGCGGCGACAGGCCGCCGGGGGCGCCGAACGGCACCGCGATCAGCAGGAAGCGCTCCAGCGACAGGAACAGCAGCACCAGCACCGACACCTCCGAGCTGAGCATGGCGGCGGCGCCGGCCGCCGTGCAGCGCCACGACGCCATCCAGCGCAGCGCGTGCGCCGCGTAGCGGCCGCGCAGCTCCCGGTCGCACGCGCCCACCGCGCACAGGTACGCGCCCATCAGCAGGTCGGCCGCTGCGCAGCGCCACGCGGCCGCGCGCGCGCCTCTAGCGCCGAAGGCAGAGCCTGGCGGGGCGCGGCGCGACAGCGGAGGTACGGAACGCGGGGGCGGACACAGGCACAGACGGAGAGAGGGTCCGATAGAAAAAGAGGGACTGACGGAAAAAGAGGGACCGAAATACGGATGGACAAACAGACGCACAGAAGGACAAACAGAGATGGTCAGAGACGGGGGCCAGTTATACTTTAGAGTTATACAACGAAAATGGGACTTGAAAATGCTACCTCTTGCGCTATCCAAAGTCAAAATTTATTTTAAAATGTAATGCAATTTTTGAGAAAAAAATTGTTTAAAAAATTAAATATTTCTTATTATTCACGCAAAATTATACGAAAAGTACTCAAACTTTCGATAAATTGTACTTGACTATTTCAAAATCTGTCTTTATAGAAAATATTTTATTACGGAAAACTCACTATCTGCAATGTTTAGTTGTAAAAAGACGCCGAAAATATTTAACATTTGCAATTTCGAAACAAAGGATTTTAACGAACGTTTTAATAACTTGTTAGTGTTTTAATGTCATGTTTCTTTAATTTCCGTACTGAAAGTATTTCAAGAACGAGGCTTCACGGGCAACCAAATGATGATTTGGTGCTTGAGTGTATGGATAAATGATGGATGGACAGCATGTTATTAAGAACCAGAAGAATGTTTTCTTTGCTTTCCGTGTCTCAAGAACACGATGAAAATTCTGCCACGTTATTTTTTCCTAGAATTTGAGCAATAACCCTAGGTATATCACTGAGCGGTTATTGCAGTAGTCGGTTGTGGAATATTGATTGGCATACAATGGTTGACTAAATTTATAAAAATATTACATATTATGCATACATACTTTCAAAATGAAGCATTCGAATGATTTTATTTCACAATTCAATTACGTTCTTTCTTACACAAAGTGCATGATATGTACGCAGTTCAGCATTTTTTAAGCTGGTCGTGAATACCGTTTCTCTACCAAGAGCCCTTCCGGCGTATAAAATGTAAATGAAAGACGTTTGCATGCAGTTCTGCAGTTTATCTCGTCAAAGAACTCTTAGGCACGTCAGCAGAGCGAGTTGCTAAAAAAATCTTCCAGCAAAAACGACTGAGTAAACAGTAAGAATTCTCACGATCAGCAGGATTCAGAACTTTCCAGGAAACTCTCAAAAATGCGCTCTAAGGGAGAAAAGTAAGTGCTTAGGTACTCTCTGTGTGTATGTATTCCTACATTACTCACCCATTTGAGAGTTCTTTGGCATAATTTTCACTCTTATCCCGTAGGCAATGTTTGGTATGAAAGAAGATACAATCTTTTAAAGTGAATAATGCATTTTATTCTATTTTGATCTGCCTTTCGCATGTCGATGTGGTATCGTGTTTTTGATTGTCTAGACAACAAACAAAGAATATGTGATAAAAAATCTTTAATGTACTGCTCATAAGTTTAATTGGTTCAAAATATGTCCATTTAGTTACGTCTCTTTCACAATAATATTAAAAATATTGAAGATTAATTGTTTCATGTAAGCAAAGATAAGAAATCTATATTACTATTTTCAAATGCAGGCAGAAATTGAAAAATACATTGCATGTGAGGTGTATCTGTGATTTCATTAGATACTCAGAAACTCTAAAAACAATGAATCAGATTTTGAATGAAAATGCAAATATTTTATTGTGTCATTCCAACCATTCTCATACTGTGCGTGCCGACTGAATTTTCGTTCGTCACTGTTTAGTGCACGGCTGAATTTATGCGACTGCAAGACTTTAAGGAAGAGGCGAGCTATTTCACATGTTGCGTTACGAAACAGCAAGGTTTTTGGTATTCTTCATACGTAAAAAACTGTTGTACATATATACTATGTTTCCGTAGTATTTTTGCAGTATTCGTGAAGACTGCTATTATTGAAAATTTTAATTTATTGCAGTATAAGAGAGTAATTTATTTGTTGTTCTTGTGCAGTGCGGATCCTACTTTTTCAAAAACCATTTTCTGAGGTTGGAAAGGGAGAAATTAATGCATTAGAATTTTGGTATAAATAGGATATGCTATTTGAAACCATCTTCTAATATGTTAGTTATGTATAAAACCTTTACAAATAAAATTTTAAACAATACAGCACATCGTTATGATATCTTGATGTGTCATATGTTTAATCATATTTAAAGTTTTTTTAATTGATCCCAGAACTTGCTGTTAAGATATTACATTTCATTTTAATCGTGTCAACGTGGTCTAGATAGTGACGAACGACGCGACACATTGATTACAAAGAGAGAGTTTTGAGAATCTCAACGAAGCAAAAACGACGAGTTTGTTTTGTACAACGAAGTGCTTTAATAAGCTTCCAAAGCAAATACTGGGCAACTTTTCTTTTGCTTTCATGTTTATTTCAAACCTGTCACATTCTGAGCAACGCGTAAGCGCACTGGTGCGTCGACATAAAGCATGAAATGTTTGTGTTGGCGCGTTGTTTACTACTTAGAACCTGCTCTGTTCCTGGTGTCTCAGAATTTTTGTATACAAGCACCGTCTGTGATACGAGTTCAGAGAGAAAGCAAGATAGATGAAGGTCATAAGGAAAAGGGGGAAGTACGACGCACAAACATCCGACACGTATTCTATCTTTATTCTCTTTGTCCTCGTGTATTAAATAGGTTGAAACGGTCTGAATGGAAATGCATATCAATTCCGGAATGTAGGAGACTACAGTACCGGCAGCGTATAAGCGACTCTGACAGTTCGATGCGCCGTTGTCACACATTTCTACGCTCATGACACCAGCTACGTGACAGATAAATGAAATCTTATAACATTAACATTGGCTCTCAGTCGACGTCACGTCTTGATATCATGTTCATAACCTTCACCACAGCCGAACCTTATCGCCTCCGCGACTTCGTGTGAGTCAGATGAGCAGCTGTGAGAAAGTAAACTAATCATCGCAAGCTAATTGCTTCAGAGCAGGTCACATGACATACCACAGCACGTGGCGAGAGAACTACCAGAGTCGCTTATACTCTACCGGTGATGTAGAATTAGAGCCTCTTTTCAAGCACTTCATTTGGAACATTCAAGGTCAAGATGAAACCAACGTACACAAAATAAGTTACATCCTAACATGAAGGAAAGACAAGAAGAGAAGATTCATCGGTGTTATTCATTTTGCACTTGGAAGACAATGTTGCCGTTGCCAATTTTATTAACTTTTTAAAAATTGTAGGCGTTCGAAATCATTGTTTTTACCATCCGGTGACTTGGTCCCGGTCATATCAAACACCGGTGATTTGCTGCAGGTCACTACATTCACTAGTAGTATTAGATCACATATTAAAATTACAATAATAATGACAATGAAACTGGCTCACTATGTTGAATTGTTTAAGCACTGTAATTCTTTTCTCTAAAACTTAATTATGAAGAATTCATTAAATCACGTATAAACCAATAATAAGTATAAATGTACGCGCGTGATTGTACTACTAAAACGTCTAGACATCATCATCGTAAATATTATTTAGAAGAAGTCGTGATTTTTATTTCTAAATTGAATTTCTAAAATCAACTTATGCCAAAACTTGCTCTATCGTCAGCTATTGTTCACAATATTATACTTTTGCGCACTATAAAGTTAACCATCACCAAGTAACATTTTCCTTACTCCTAATACGAAAAGCAATGTATATTGTTTAATGAAAACGATACTTGCTGATTTTCTCTTATTTTCTAGTACCTAATCGTACACACCATAAAATGGAAAATAATCGTTAATTTTTTTTACCATTTAATAATTGATCAGACTACAACTAAGTTATACTGTATTTATATAAAACGTGGTTTATTTCATGTATTTGTTAGTTCTTTCCTGATAGTTAGAATTTTTTTAGCTCTACTCAGAATACTTCGAATAACTGATAAAGCCGCTAAATTGGTCGAATATAGTGTCATTAACCGGAATCTCTTCTTTTTAAATTAAGCTGTATTTACTTTAACTTGTCGAGTTCTACCTAGGGTCACAGGTCAACGCACCCAGAAGCCGCATTCGAGGCGCAGTATTTCGCGAGCGGACGAAGCAGGATGGGGGAGGGATTGAGAGCGAGAGTGGAAGTGAAAGCGACAAAGGGAGCGGCCCGGGCGAGGAGGGCGGCTCTTGATTAGCTGTTTGTCTCCTCCGGGACGTGTCGCGCGTCCGCCTTGCGGGGGAGGTGGCCTCTAGATGGCAACGCGCACGCAAGGGCGTGTCCTACTCCGCTGCCGACGAAGGGCATCACCCCCTTGCGGATGCACGGTTAAGGGCACGTTCCACAAAACAGAGATCCCGCACGTCGTACGTGAGAAATACACCTCGGAAACAGAAAATTTTGGAAACAATTAAGTAGTATATTGCATTGAGGATTTTATAAAAATTGTTATAACACAGAGAAAGCAGTTTTGAGAAAAGAGGCGTTTAAAACTTTTTTTGTACTACATACTCATACTGTAATAACACTAACTTTCACGCATTCTACCTAGCGACATTTTTCCACTTTACATTTACAATTATTAACTGCTCTAAAAACTGATGCTGTTGATGTCTTTATGAAAAATCTAGTTTTTTGATCGTTTGATAGTTTTTGGAGGATTTGTGATATTATATTACATCTGTTATTTTACAATTTGTATAATTTACAATAATTTCGTTTAAAACTTAAATAGTTGGTATATAATTATGGCTAAATGATGTTTTTTGTTAACATTCTATTTTATCTTACTGTCAATTAGTTTCCGAGTCATGGAAAAGCATTGCAACTTCCAGCCATGAAAATTTGAGAATTTTATTAAAGCATTTGCAAATAACTCTATTTACTATGGTCATGCCAAAAGTTGTTCTTTAAGTTACGGTAATTGTCATTTAAATGACCATTAATTTGTGAATCTGGTTTACACATTTATAAAATAAAAACGTTGTGTTTCTTCTGCATATTTTATTTTATGATAAACGAAATTCACAAAATAGGTGGAATCATTATTTGTTACTCCTTTGACGAATTTGTTCAAACTTTTTATTTACTATTTTTTCGTGACAATCGAAAAAATAAAAGTCATTCTGGAAGAACTTTTTTGCATGCATTGAGGCAGAATGTCAAAAATTAAAATTGAACAATCCATAGAAAGAAATATTGAATCGAAAATCAAGTTTGCAAGGAGGATAACTACATATGAACGCATCTGGGAAAATGGTATTCTCACCAGAAACAAGGTCGCATATCATATTATCTTAATATTCTGTACAGTGTAATAGGGAAACACGCTTCTCTGCTCCACTCCGTCCACGCATTGACCTACCTCTCTGCCCCAGTAATTGCAGGTTTCTTGCTGTCTCTTTGCAAAGAAAACCGGTCGTAAAATAATGCAATTAATGGCAGTATGGTTACAGAAACGGAAAGCAAATACACTCGCGGTAGGAGAGTAACTCGCTCTAACAACCCACTAGTTACTATCTTTACGACACCGCAACATACGTATGTATTGTAGAACGAACCGTCAGACCGAAGATAGTGCCTCGACAGGAATATTTTTTTTTCTCATAATGCTTCTCTTCATTAACTACAAGCCATACGACGAAGGATTTTATTAGTTCTATTATGCATTATGGTTTATTATGGAAGCTAAGTATATTTTGTTTCAACCGTTAAAAAATATGAATGAAACTAAAAATATGAAATTGCATTTTACAAAATAATTTGTTTCGTTATCATAATCTCTGATTTCACTTTCGATGAGGAGGAAACGTTCTAACTTCATCTCAAGTAATACAAACTCTAATCTTCATCATTGAAACCAATGGATATTTTTGTATGTTTGTGTCCTAATTGTTAACATGTTAAAACGTGTTTTTCAAAACTATTTGCTGAATTCTACAGTTACTCTGTGGGTCAGAAAGTATTGTAGTATTGGTCTGTACATTATAGTGCAAGAGAGTAAATGAAGGTTCCGCGTAGTGACATTGATGAAGATTGTCGCGGCGTCTGTGGAGATACATTTTAAACTGTGAAAAAAGTAAAAAATTGAGAATAACTGTGAGCAGTTTGAAGTTTATGTCGGGGAATTTTCTTGATATGTAAAAATATTTTTATTCCATGTCCAGAGGCCCAGAGTAATTTTTTTTCAACAAATACCAACAATTCGATTCTGTACAAAGTTAAACACGTTTTCACACAAGTTTCATATTAACCGCGTAAAGCTGTTTCCCTCACATGATTATTTTGCACATCATTATCAGAAGCATTATTGAACACGTCATAGCTTGAAACATCTCACGAGACCAAGTACACCTCAAAAAATGTTTTCAATTTCAACATTATTCAAAATACTGACAAAATCAACAAAACTACCGTAAAAATAGAATGTTATTGTTCTGCTAAAACATTTTTACTTATTTTGCCAACTAGATTTGAACGTCTAGACACTATCAGATCAGGCGTGCTGGGTCGGAGAAGACGCAAGTATGGTATGGTGGAGAGGGAGGGAGGGAGAGAGGAAGAGAGGTAAAGGGAGGAGAAACAAGAGGGAAGGAAGAGAGGGGTGGAGAGGAGGAGGAGGGAAGAGAGGGAGGGGAAAGAGAGGGAAAAGATAAAGAGACGAGTGAGAGGGGTGAAGGAGAAGGAGGGGAGCGAGAAAATGGAGTGATGAATGAGACAGGAGGAGGGGAAGAGGGGAAGAAAGGGGTAGAGGAATACGGGAGGGAAAGAGAGGGAGAAGAGACGAGAAGCGAACAGGGAGTTCTAGAGAGACAGGGTTCTAACGGAGGATGGGAGGAAGAGAAAGGGAGAGGAGGGAGAGAGAGTGGGCTGAGGGGGAAAGCACGAGGAAGTGGAGAGAAAAGAGCGCGGAAAGGACGGTGGCTGAGGAGAGGGAGGGGAGGGGGAGTCACCTGCGAGGTTGCGCACAACGGCGCTGAGCGCGGGGCTGTCGTCGCGGGCGGCGGCGCGGCCTCCCAGCACCAGCGCGTTGCCGCCCAGCGCCAGCGCCGCCAGCACCCACACGGCGGCGCGCTGCTCCGGCCGCTGCAGCAGGTGCTCCGCCGACGAGATGCCTGCCCACAACACAGCCTCGTCAGGAGGGCTCGGAACATGGCCCGACTATGCAAGCGTTGATGGCCAAAATATATAGATATTACCTTAAAAACACACATATCACTACCTCCTGAAACGCTGAGGTTGCTAAGGCTGAAGGACCGTAGCTACCTCGGCTTGAAGCATCGCGGATTCGAATCCTACCCGGGCATGGATATTTTTGGGTGTTCGTGTTGTCCTTAAGTGTTATTCGTACAGTTACAATAACAGTAGTTGCTGTATGACCAAGATGTTAAAAGCGACCTAAAAAAAGTCTCATCGTAAGTTTATTTCAAACACTTTTTAAAAATTTTTTACATTAACCATCGTGCAAAATTCATTCCAGAACAAATTATGAGTGTAATGCTTGATTTTGCAGACTTTGAACCTAACCAGCAACTATTTTAAATTTTTTTCTCCTGTCTAAAACACGAAGTACTGTGCAGTAAAAACTACATTTCTCCGTCAGTGCTGAGGAACTTCTGTCCAAATTAGGAACAAAACCTCGAAGCTGCGTGCTGTTCGAGCTCTTTGTTTTCGGCATGTGTAACCACACTCATTCATTAAATAGTAATGTCTTCTTAAAAAAATAAAAATGATGCAAGAGCTGAGTCTTAAGTCAGATTCAAACGTTCTTTGTATGACGTAACATACGTTTGAGCTGAAAGCATTGATCCTGATCCTCTACTTCCCCCAAGAGGGATAGATGTTCGAGCTAGGGTAATCTCTGGTTTGGAGACCGATTACATCCCCGCAATGGCCAAGAATCAGCGCAAAATTCTGCCATGAGTTAACAGTTATGAAAAACAAAACATGACAAAAAGTTTCCTATTACATAAATTGTGCAACAAAGCTTTTTAAATATATTTTCAAAGTTCGAAGACAATTGCTATGCAAATGTTTTAAAAAATAGATAGAAAGACTGCAAGACAACCCTGAACACTGTTTTAATTCTAAGAGGATCAACTCTTAACACATGAACTTTCCTAAAGTTGCTTTAAGGGGAATGCTCCCCTGAAGGTAATGAAGTAGTTCGTAAGTTACCCTTATACTGAAAAAAAACAAAACAAATGGATATTATAGCAAACAAATGGATATTACGTACCGTCAGTGTTTGGGCGACACGACTTCACCCACGGAGCGTAGGAGCAGAAATGGAAGCGATGCAACCACCTGCAATATGAACAATACCCCACAGCTCAAGGGCGGGGCTTAACTCAAAAGAAAGCTGAACATTCTGACAATTTAAACTTCAGCATGATAAATTGTGATGGTATTTGATATTTTGTCCAAAAATAATTACCAAAGGATCCCAAAATGAAGTGTATATGTGAAAGAGTGTAAAATTATGTTGTGACAACTGAGACTGAACGAATACTTACAGAATTTGAAGACTTGGTAAAATGTCCGCATCGAATATCTGCAAATCTAATTGTTCCATTTCTATTCCCTCCAAATTTCTGAAAACGACATCAAAAAATCATCATTCACTGCCAGTTACGCATGACAAAAAATAATAACCATATTTCAAATCCTCAAAAGACATGACAAAGCAATTAGTGTTGTCAATATTTCAGAACAATACATTTTATACAAAACAATCTTAGTACAATAAATTTTGTAGGAAGACGTAAAACAATATAAATTAGCATTTTAGTAATCGTTAGTGAATTGATTCCGTTATTTGATTACTTCGAACCTTATTTAGTTACCACCTACTATGAAAATTAGTTACCATTTGGACGATATATTTTTAATGATTAAATATACCTGTGACAAGTATTGTATCTCAGCTGTGTTAATAATCCAACTTGTAGGTGGGTTAGAGTAGAGATTTCAGAATTTAAGAACACACCCAGAAATGAAGGTCTACGAATAGTAGGCCCCACACAGTTTTCGCTGTTTTTGATGTTAAATAAATAAATAAACAAACAAATAAGCAACTAAATAAATAAACTTTCATAATCGAGAGTTTGAGTAGCGACGAATTCTTAGTTAACGCGGATACGTATCTTCTTAAACAATACTATTGACAATATTAAATTTAAACAATGTGTGTAAGACGGAATTGTGACGAAATAATTCCAAAAAAGTGCATCTTACTGCAAATTACGTTTATGGCTTTAATTTTAGATGTATATGAAGTATTTGCTGGATAAGAAAAATCCAAAGGTCAAAGAAACATCGTGTTTTTGAACATCGCGTCTGTTTTAGGGTTCAGGAGATTTGAATTTATCGAAGTATTGTTCTTTGCTTTGAATACAAAATAGCAATACATATGCATATTTTCAAAAAAATGTTATCTCGAAAATTGTTTCTTTTACGAGATTTGTTGCCATTGTAACACACATTGAACTGCATTAGCACGACAATTGTCAACAAACGTACCACATTACTCTTGTATTGCTCAGCACACGGCCTTTTGAAACCATTTATTTTTCCATTCGTAAATTCCATCAATGATAAGATAATTTGATCAGGGGCCCTCTCCTTCACTTCTTTATGATGTTTCATAATCAAATTTGCTTATACGTGGGATACCATTCCAACACATAACTTAAAATCCGACGCGCAATTAAATTCAAATCAACCTCATACATATTGAACAAGGCGTTTATGGCTGCGGCAACGCAGGCTGCAATGAGGGAGTCCCCGTAGTGCGCACGGGCTACGGGGGACCAGTGCGTGTGCGGGGGCTGCTCGCACGAAGGGGCGGTCGCGAGGGGCATACGTGCGTGCACACGTGCGGGCGGGCGGGCGTGCAAAGAGGGGAACAGGAGGAAGCGACGAAGCGGAAACTGTCGGTGTGGCTGGCGGCTCTCGCGACACGAATTGACGCTGCGACCGATTTCGGCTAATGAAAACAATACCGACCGAATGTGCTCACGCATGTAGTTGCACCGGCTATGAGACATGAATTAAGCTCAGAGCCTCCTTGCCGATGTATCTGCAGCGAACCTGACCGAAAGGTCTTGGGATTAGAGGGCCGACAGTGGCGGATGTTCGACAGTAGCTACGTAGCTAGGTCGAATTCAGCCGCTGTTTGGAGAAGCATACTAGCGGCCGGTTGCACTGATGGGTAGTTTTAAGTGGCTTCCCCAAATAATACCAGGAATATGCCGCATAGTACCCAATCATATGAGCCGAGGACTGCGTGGACTCTTTTCTCCCTTTTCCTTCATTCATCTACTCCCCCTTACACATACACTATTTTACCACATATGTCGGGAGAGCACCTACCCAAGTGGGGATCTTGAAGCTAGGCTGTGCCCGGCTGGAGGGAGATACTTAAAAGAGGAGTCTCCTGCAAGCCAGCGTGCATGTCATTGCCGAACTCACTTTCCAGTGGGAGGATGAACACCGCCACCCCTCGGAATAAAATATTCATTACACTTACGGAACTAATGATTAAAGCCGTTAACATGCCGGGAAACATCAATCAAGCACGTGTTTACGAATCCACTACAAAAATTGCGTATATCTGTGTGCGTATATGAGAAGTATCCACCTGTTGTACCCAAGTTTGCAAGTTCAAAACGGATCGAACCCGAGGATTTTTAAGGGCAAAAAATCCGTCTATAAACAAAAATGTAACTGTAATAAAATTTAACTATAAGCATTAATACCTGCAAGTATTTGTTACGGCGATTATAATTTTGAAATTACAAAAAGACCAGTTCATATCCCTTATGGAGGTAACACACAAGGTCATTGGGTGTTGGGAACTTTTGACGTCTCATTTTACTAGTAATTATTGTTTCGGTCTTTTTACCTTTGCTGTGGAGTTGCTTGATATAGTTTAATAAACACAGAGTTTTTTGAAATATGTGTAAGATTTGAACGAGAGTACGCTTTTGGAGAAGAGAAGGCAGAGAAAAATAAAAGTGCAGTAAAAAGAAGAAGAAGAAGAAGAAGAAGAAGAAAAGCAAAAATATGCGAAAGGGCGAAAGATGTAGGAAATGAGAGCAAGAGGGGATGAGAGATATTAGAGTTAGTAATAGGGAAAAAGAATTGGGAAGTGACCTGAAGAAAAATGTACCCAAGAAATAAAACATAATAACTAGTGGTGCTAAAACAACACGTACTTTCTTGCCCGAACTTTCACGCAAAATTACGCAGAAAGTGCTAAATTTTTCGAAAAATTGTACGTTACTTCATTTCAAAATATATCCTTGAGGAACAAATTTCATTAAGGGAAGAATCGCTATATTAATATTATAGTTGTAGAAGAGAAATTTTGAATATTTGCAATTGTCGAAAAATCAGGGATTTTAATGATCATGAGACCTACACCATTTTTTAAACGTCCTGCACACTATCCAACAAAATTTAATCCAAAACGATAGAGCCATTTTTTGACAATTTTGAAAACGTCCCAGGGGCTTCAAGTAAAATAGCTTGCAAATTTGCTGCAAATATAGCCTGCAAATATCCGTTTGAAATTCAAGGAGCCGCGACATCAGCCAGATCCATTGGAGAATATCTATTATGGAGAAAATCGTCTGAACGTTTTAACCGCAAGCGTTGTTCACAGACGGACGGACAGACAGATGTTTGGTCGTCATTCGACTTTTCGGTATCAAGAACCCACGAAACCTGGAATTTGTCTACACCAGGTTTTAGAGGAAATTTTTCTAAATTTAGTAATGGATTTATCCACGTTTTCGTTTATAGGGCCCTGTAATAAGAGATATTCTGCCGAAACTTCACCGTTTTTTCGCATAGCATTACATAACTTTGTCTCTACTCCCTAGCGAGAAAGTAGAAAGAAAAAAATGATATTGGAAAGAAAGTGAAGAAGGCCGAAGAAAAACGAAAGGGTGATGGGAACGATGTATCGAAGGCGAAACGCTGAGGTCTCCAGTGGCACTCACAGCGATGACAAGTTGGCCAGCGGCTGCAGCAGAGAGCGCGGAATGTAGTCGAACGGGTTCGCCTTCAGACTCCTGCAACAATCAACCAGGATCATTATTCTCTCCAATGGACTAGTAATTTGTAGATGTAGATGTTTAGTCTAGGAAAACGGAAATCATGTTAATGCATGTAAGACAACAGGCATTAATATAGTACAATGACAAAGTACGAGATAAATATCATTGTGACTTTTCAGTACATATTAGGATCTCGCTCATCAACAATGAAGGAACAAGCGAGTCTCACTGCTAAAAATGATGTTGACAGTAGCAGTGGACACAATATATTTTTGAAATGATTTTCAGTCAGGTCTCCGAAATACAAACAAGCCCTGCGATTACTTAAAATGTCCGTGCTCTTCGGTCTCTGCGGCTTGATTTGAACTATTTTAAAGCTTTTGAAATACCATTTAGTAGCTCTGTCAATAAAACTTTTGGAAGAGAAATGTACTTTAATGCATGTGGTAAACATGCAAATGTAAGTGTATTGTAAATGTATCAAATTTACATCTCAAAATTCATATACAAACACACACACACACACGTGTGTGTGTGTGTGTGTGTGTGTGTGTGTGTGTGCGCGCGCGCGCGTGTATGTTATGTATCGAAAAAATAGGTTTCCAAAATTCCTTCTCGTGAAGAGTCAATAGTCTTCCGGTGTCTTCATAAGACAGAAATAACATTTGACGTTATAAAGGAGTTTCCACTGTCGTGTTCTTTCAAATATTTTGAAAATTAATATCGTCTCGAAAAAATCTTCAGGAAAACATGAGAAACGTGTGTTGCATGCTTCTGCTTATATTCTTCAATAAAAATAAAGTTTATAAATCTGGGGCACAAAGATCAAATGTTCCTCAAATTTATGACGCAGAATGATTATTTCGATTTGATTTATATATTTTTGTTTTAATCGTTTAGTTTCTTTTCAGTTCGTTTAGTATCATTTTAGATTGTTTTGTTTCTTTTTAGTTTATTTAGTTTCGTTTAGTTTATTTTTTACTGGTTTAGTTTTAGTTAATTTTATTTTGTTGTTTCGTGCTGTTTGTATTATTTCGTTTTGGTTCATTTAGTTTCGTTGTAGTTCGTTTAGTTTGGTTTAGTTTCGTTTTGTTTCGCTTCAGTTCGTTTTGTTAATTTCAAATGTTGAGTTTCGTAGCTTTGATTTCATTTCATATTGTCATATGACATATTGCCATATGGCAACCATTTCGTATTGTCCTTTTGCCATGCCCTGAAGGCTCTGCTGGAGTGGATGCATGGCCTCGTCAGGAGGCGTGCGTGTGCCGTGGAAGGGCGTTTCGCAGGCGCCGTCCCCTTGCCGAGCGACGCGCAGGGCCGAGGCCTATTGTGTGCCGTGCGCCCGAGCCGCCGCCCTCCAGCCGCCACGTGTGCGCGCACGTGCGCGACGCGTGCGAGACGGCGAACGCAGAGGATTTGCAGCTGCGGCCCGACGCCGACGCCGCCAGTCCACCTCCCATCCAACCCATTTAGAGCAGCTAACGCCATCGCCATCACACCAATGCCACCGCCGCCACCCTGCTTCTGCTTTCGCCACGTCACTTTCGCCGTTACCGCCTCCGCCATCGTCACCGCATCCACCGTCAACACAGCCAACGTTCCCTCCGCTACACCATTATCACCACCATCATCCTCACTATTGCCACCGTCGCCATCACCAGCACTTCCACTTATGAATACTAAGAATTACAAGTTTTCGCGCTTCTGTACAAGGTATGAGCATTAAGTCTACGACGAACATGGCACTGGACGAAAATGTGGTAGTGGGATCACTGTGGTAATCGATAAAAGCGATTGGTATAATTGTGTCACAGACCAGGTGAACAGATAATGTGGCATTTAACTGAGTAAATGAGTTGCTTTATTTAGCGTTAGGAAGTAAGACGAGAACAAATAATCGAAAAGAAGCAACAATAAAGTGAGGATAAACCAGAGAAGAACCGAGGTGAGCTCATTTGGGCTGGAAGCAGTGACTGTCAGTGAGCAAGTGTCAGATAAAAAATGGTAAATAGGTAAATAGGAAAAGATGTCGATGACTGACGTCGAGAAGATGTCGATATAGCTGACAATGAAGTTGATGCATCATTCAAACAAATTCATCCAGAATGCTTCGCGTGTGCTGGGACAGCAAAATTAGGAGAAGGAGAAAATATTTTTTTAAGTTCTAAGCGGATAAATACTAAGCGAGGTTGACTTTAGGGCAATGATAACTATTGGAAGCGAGTTGAAATGAAATGATCTGTTCTATGGAAGCCACACAACGCCTACTCAACTAATTCAACTACAAAGCTGGCAATGGCTTAAAAACTCGGTAAAATATAAATCTGCTGTCCTGGATGGCCGTGATGACAGACCGTGTACCGACTCAGCGCTTTGTTCCGAAGAGTCGCGGGATTGCTGGTTCACGCCCCGCCTTGGGCATGTATGTGTTGTAGCGGAGGGCCTCGCGTTCTGCTAACCCCCAGATCTCGCAAGTCTGTTGGTGTGTATAGTGTGGTCGAATATCTATCCTATCGGTACGTAAAGGGTAACCAGCTGTCGGCTGGAAAAAGTCCCAGAGAAAGAAAGTACTACTTACTCGTATTCAAAATCAACACGCTCACCAGAGGATCAATATGACGAAAGCAACCCGAGGGCGTGCTGAAGTCTACAGTGGAGGGCGCAGAGGGTGGAAGTGGGAAGCGAGGACGCAACGCGCCGCGCCGTGTCGTCGCATACGTGCCACATGCACAGCGACCGCGCTTCAAAAGGGCGCCCAAGGGCAGCGAAGGGCTGGCGCTGCGGTGCTCGTACACGCTCGACCGCCACGACCTCTGGGTGCTGGCAGACCGCGGCCGCGCTCAATGGGGGTATTATGCCTGGAAGGTCACATTCAAACGTTCCGATCGTATGGTCGGCTTCCGAAATAAGAGGTCTGCGAATGCGAAATTAACATTGTTGTTGCGACTGGAATTGACAAATGAAGAAATCATCTAAAACAAGCATCTATGATGAGGGATTCGTGACTTATGAGAAGAAGGCAGAAGATTTGTCGTTAGAAGCATTTGGCTTCTAATAAATTCCTTTCACATTGCACTACTACACTTGTCAGGAGACCAGCCGGAAACTTGGAGCTTGTCCCGGCTAGAGCGGTGCCCCGCTAGAAGATACCTATTTGCGAAAATACCCGCAACAGCGACGTAGGTCCGTGCCGGATCTCGCCACCTCCAGCGATAAAAGCATTCACAACACTTGTGGCACTAATGACCTTAGCTGTTGAAGCGACCAGAATCACTCTATGACACATTCCCATCATGACACGGAGATGAGTCTAACTTTGATCTAAGTGTTGAATGTTTGTAAGTACGTTTTTATATAATTGACTATATATTTTTATTTATCTTCGAGTAATTGCAAAATTTGCGAGATGATTTAAAAAATGATTGTTGCAGATTAAGTTTCTTCTTCCTGAGAATGTGATCAGTCTGATCACTAAAACGTCGTGAATAATTGTAATATGGGAAATATAACAAATTTTGCTTTTAGGGATCAATGTCTTTTTGATTTGTTTCACTTTCGTTATCCAGCTTTTGGGAATGTTTCCAAACTGTTTATGTCGATTAGTTGCAATTGGATAAGTTATGTTAAGATTAGAGATCTTAAATAGATATGTTGGTGGTATTTTCATCAATTTTTTCGTCACATGTGATTTATTTTACTATGCCTAAACAGTTGCATTATTGCTTAAATATTAATTGTCTTGAGAAATATAGAAACTCAATCATTTAAATTATAAAACTAAACCTTTTTTATTAGTATTAATTTCTAGAGTATACGAATGATCCTAGATACAAGATAATAAAGTGGACCACCTGCATTCTTGGCGTCAGTCAATGTCAATGGATAACAATATTATTAATTTGGAGCCTTTATATAAATTATGCTTTGCAAAAAACTACAAGCTACTGTAATGCATAGAGTACTCACTTTCAATTTAACTTAACTTATCGTACAAAATAACAAACGTTGGAAATTTTATTTTAGATTTCACGAAATAAATTCAGTTAAATAATGAATTCAGAATGTATTAATCTGGATAGCACGTAATCAACTTACAAATGAAATGGTGACAGTTTTCTCACCATTTCACATTCAAAATGCAATTAATTTTTCCCTTTTGGCAGTTGTTGGAAAACCAATGAACTAGAGATTCCCTTAATATTATGTTCCTTTATATTTTGTAATAAAAAACATTCGATTTCGTTAACTTCAATTAATATTACATTCAAAATTCATTTTAATTTTTCGGAGAAATAATCCTTAAGGAAGTTATTGGTAGTTCAATGTCAGAATGTAAATGGTGAGAATAGAAAACCATAAACATGGTGAAGAATTGTACTTTGGGACTAACTTTGGGACTTATAGAATTGTTATTGTTGAATTTATGATTTTATTTCTTATCACAGAGCAAGAATACGTTATTACTATTATATGTGATCCAAATTAGTAATAGACAAATATCAATTAAAGTATTCTTTTTCTCTGTTGGGTTAGAATCATTTCCCTGTTCAGTATAGTTTCAGTGCAATATTTTTAAAATAATTGCAGAAGGACAATGGATCCACAAAGTCAGTATACAAAGAAACTTACAATGCTTTAAGACCTCCCAAGGGCTTCATTGTATCAGAGTCCATACTGTGAAGGTAGTTGAAGGACAGATTCCTGGAAACAAAATAACATATTTTCATGCCAGTAAATTTGTATTGTCCACAATTTGTATTGTTGTGCTTGCCATTTTTATGAAGAGAAAATAAATAAAATTTGAGATGTGATGGATTTCGTAACTATAGATATTTTGTAATACCCAAAAATAATTCCCAAAGGTGATAATTATTCAAACCATAGGTTTTTAGTACGTCCGAGCTTTAATGCAAGTTTAATTCATACCACAAATGCTTTTATATTGTAATTCGATAAACACGTGCTCAAAATTTGAAAGCGTTAATTGCATTTTTGCTTATGTTAAAATTGTACGAAAATTTTAGATAAATATCTAAAACTTTCAATTGAGGTTCTTCACAGATAGAGCAAGAAAGGATTGCGTACAAACGAAGGAGGGCGCGATTGCCAACGAAAGCTCCATAGTTGATTGTGGAGATGCGGTTGTGTTGCAGATATCTGAAACAATTACACCAAAACGCATTAAACTTCTAAACAAAGAATGCATTTATTCTCGTGGGTTTAATTCTATTATGTGACGTGCCATTAAAAGAATTCCGAAGTTTTGTTATTAGTAAACTGTTGAAAAAGGAAAAAAATAAAAAGAGATGACTTTTTCTCAAGTTACAAATGTCAATCTTATCTCAATTCCACCATTCTTCCACTAGTTCTCTGTTCTGTAAATATTTTTGCAAATAACTTTTTTATGTGCAGCAAAGGTAAGAAGAAACTATGGACATTGGAAATGATCAGAATTTTCAAAAGTTTATAAAAATGGAAGAATTGCAAACAGATGTATAATAAACGCGAGCATTTTAAAATAGTTTTTCTAGTTCAGTATTAATAAAACGACGAACAATGTTATATTCAACGGCACGTTTTTAGACGTAAATAATGTTTTCGTCAGTATTCAGTAGAATGGCAGAGTATTCTTTTAACGAAGTGACTGGGACTTCTTAAACTACATACACATATCAACTTACATTACAGACAAACATCTATTTGTATCCTAAACCTCCCACGATGGCCTTTTTCCTACGAAATGAGTGTTCATCAAGGCGAGGCACTATTACAGTAGTAAGTATTACAGTAAATTAGTCTGAAATAATTCTTAAAATGTTTTTGGTTAGAGTAATGTGCAATTAACGAAGCGCAGTGTACTTCCATACTTACAACTGAGAAAGTCGAGGCAATTTGTTAAATAGCTCTCGCTCCAGCGTTGTGATGGCATTTCGTTCCAGATCCCTGAAAGAAAAAAAAATCATTCAATCTACGATTAACTCAAACTTTTCTATTAAAACCAGCTCATTTCTTTTTCGAATAAATTGTACGAGAAACAAAATGATTCTCCGTCTATACTCGGTTTGATATGAAAGGAAGGTGTTTTCGCCTCATTTTAAGGTGAATTTTAACTACTACACGTGAGGATACAAAGGATCCCCCTGACAAATTGCCAGCAGGTGGTAAAATATTAATTGTTGTAAATAATCGAATGAGTTTTTTCTAAACCTTACATTACTTTGTTAAATAACACCCTGGAATAATTACAATAGTTTGTGTAATTGGGATATTCACTATTTATGTATTATGTATTTTGCTGATTATTTGGCATTTTGCCCGACTTTGACAGCAAGCCAACGGTGGGATTAACTAAAGATCTAAAATAGCGTAGTACAATGCGATTACAAATAAGATGCACAAAAGAATGAAAGTATTTATCACACATAATTTAGTTTCTAAAAGTCACCAATATACTCTCTGACCATGTGCACGTTATGTATTTTATCCATAGTTTTGTAAATTATACGAATCAACATTTGCTTTAATTATCCCAAAGAAAAGTGACACCCACTATTCATACATAAAATATAAGTAAAAACAAGTCATTTTTATGTAGTTAAGTGTTAAAAAGTCAAGCAAAATATTTCAACACTTAAATGTTGACGTACAAAGATTTCTAAGAATAAGCTTCGAATAGCATGAAATTTGAATTGAAAAGTATTAGAGTATATAATCATTTGGAAGTTAATGTTGGCGAAAACGAAGGCTCATATTGATGTCGCATGACATCAGGTGTATCATAAGCAGTGCCGCACAAAGTAGGAGAATTCTGACGGTACGCGGACAATTAGAATAGGCGGAATGACACAATCAAATATTTACATATTTCAGTCAAAATTGGAATTATTTCATTGATTTAGGAATTCGTTCGTATGTAACAAAACTATAGACACCTTTCGCATGATCAGAGGCTGCATTATTTTTATGTTTTTTAATTTTTTTAAAATGTTTGGGTGCATTGGAAATTAGATACAAGGATGTCTCATAAATATTACAAATTTATTGGGCTTGTAGAAGAAGACTCGAAAATGGTCGCTTTTTGCCCATGCTCCACCGATGTTCGACAGATAACGATTACAAGTATAAATTTACGTATATAATTTCTCGTCTTACGAATACTTTGTAAGAAGCAAAATTATGTAATCGAGCGCCGGAAAACGGCGAATTTTCACCAGAAAAACTCTTATTTCCGGGCTCTAGTAACGAAAAAGTGGATAAATCCTGTTGCTATATTTAGAAAAATATCCTCTAACTCGTGGTGAAGCGAGAATCCATGTTTTGTTGGTTCTTGATACCGAAAAATCGATTGACGGCTAAACGTCTGGCTGGCTGTCCATCTGTAACCAACTAACGCTAGCGCATAAGCCATTCAAACGTGTTTATTTAAAATTGGTATTACTCAATCGATCTGAATTAACTCGCCTCTTTGAGATTTTCAAAGCGATAGTTTTTGTTTGTTTTTCCTGTTGTTTTTTTTTTTCGCCTACAGGGTATATCGATTTCGACTATCTGCGCCGCGTACCCACTAAGTCCCGCATGGGGACACACAAACCGTTTTACACTAGACCAATTTGCGGGTTCGTCGGTTCAGACAAGGTACAAACAATTATGCCTACGTGGGCACTCGATATCGCGATCCTTCAGGTTGAGGTGCTTAGTCGTCTCAAGCTCTAGCCACCTCGGCAATCTAGGTCGGTACAAGTATAAATGCACGTGAAACTTCGTAATATTCAATTTTCCGCCACATTACTACCAAGATGTCCATGTGTACCTTAACGACAATATTCCCTGGACTAAATAGGATCGAAGAGGTTCGATTGAGTTTCGACCGCATTCTCCGATCTAACTCAGTTGGACTTCTACTTATGAGGAAGCATTAAGAATGATGTAAAGCGTAGAAAACCAGCTATACTCGTAGCACTTTGGGAATAAATTGAAACGGTATGTGTTGCAATCCCTAAGGATGCTTTCGAAAATGTTGCTGGAACAGATCAATTACCCAGAAGTGTATTGACGCCATTAGTGGGCATTTGGAGTATCTTTTGTTAATGGTTGTACCTTTTACGTCTTGAGATAATTAGTGCTCATCATATCAAGCTTTACTATTCAGCTTTACTATTAAAACAGATTTTATCTGCTTAAAGTATGTATACATTTTTGGCACCCTCTGTAAATTACTAAATAATAATAATTAATTATCAATTAATAATTAAATAAGGATAAAATTAACCCATAATTATCTAGTGTTATCGTATGGTAACGGGTCACATTGTTGGGAATTCTGCAAAAATAACTTTGGGAATGGATTGTCGAAGTTTGCAAACCTCTTTGTTCTTCCGATAAAGGATAAGTTGTTAATTATATATATATATATATATGTATGTATATATATATGTATATATATATATATGTATATATATATATGTATATATATATATATATATGTATATATATATATATATTAAAACGAAGAACGTTCCTATAATAAGAACTATTAAAACAATCACCAATTCTAAATTAAAACAAAACATTTGAGTTGATCAGCGCAGTAACGCCGCCACCACCAACGATCAAATCGGGGGGAAACGGCGAGGCGAGCGAAGGACAGGATTGTGATGCGTCCAAGAGATTTCCTGTAGTGATTAAACACAGTTTTGGAATAAGTGAGGCCGCCGAGTGTGGAACCAAGTTTGCCAAGGATAGATGGATAGATGGATAGATGGATAGATAGATGGATAAAGTTCGCCAAGGATAGATGATTAGCGGAAGTAAAATTACGCACTATAATTGAGAAAGACTAATAAAATAGTAAGTCGCGTGGCCGGTGGGCTAGTGTCGTGATCCCGTACTGGAACAACATAATAGTGGACAGTGCCGATCAGACATTTGCGCGAAGCCGAGAAAGGTCACTGAAAGGATTAGAATAACCGACGGACATTAACCATGTGTCGTTCGTTCCCGTATTTGTGAGACATTGTTCACACCGGCTGGGGCGGACCCCGGCGAAATCATCCAGGGCCGTTACGTTGCGCCGGAGGAGCTGGTCGCCGAAGAGAAGGGCGAATCCGACGGGCCTGCGGGGCGAACCCAGGCTTGCTGAAGGCCACCGTCGCCGTGCAACGACGCCCCGACGCATCCAGATGGAGCAGATGGCGTTTAAAGGTCGAGTAGTATGTACTTGGATGTCGATTCGGCGCGCTTGTTTTCAAACCTAAGCATTACTGATTTGTAAATCAGTTATTTGTAAGTGTATCTCTTGGTTATTTAAAAACGTTTAGATGATATAAAAGAGTTATAACATTCTATTCCTATGTATGCGCCAAATTACCCAGAGACCCATTTCACGAAAAAAGGCACACGGTCCCTGCATCATTTTTTGTCATAGAAAGTAGCCGCGTCTCAGGTACGTCACAAAATATATATATATATAATATATATATATATATAATATATAATAATATATATATATATTCTAACATACCCACTACACCCCCACACAACTTACCACCTTTCACAGTAGCACGCATGAACCGTAAGCAGGTTGTTCAAGATTTTGTCGTGAAGCGAGCTTTAAAAAGCTATGGAGCAGGATCTGCAGGCCCGTTGCGAGAAGTTTTGAACCCTTGACACAATTTAAAATCACACAGATTGCACCAACACGCAGGCGTATAATTTACCATAAACTCTTTAGTTGGCATAAGTAATGACAAAAAGAGAATATAGAATCGCACTTTTACAAAGAATAATCAAAACAAATAGAAACCTTTACAACACAGACTCATGTGAATGAACACAGAATTTACTCAAAATTGATACTCTGACATAATTACCCTAAACTACACTGGGAATTCCCTTGGAAAATTAATTATATCTAAATTTGTTGCTATCCTAATAACATTTCACATGAAATCAAAAAATTCAATTTACAAATCTCTCGCTTCAAGATATTACATGTACAGAACAAAAGTGTACAAGTGCACTACTCTTAATTTAGCATAAATAATAAATGTCTTAAGGTAGAATGTTTTTAGGCAGGCAAAGCGCATCAAAACGTGCTTCTACATATAATACTGTGTTGTTGCCACCCGTGTTCCTCAAATTCCTTAACACTTTCCTATACTAGTTTTCCCTGCCGACGTGAACTTGACCTATTTTCTGCGGATCCTAAACTGTTACCTCGTAGACGTTTGGCCTTGATGGTCGTGCGCTGGTCGCTGCGCTGAGACGCCGTTCGGTCGCGCTCTGCGTCGTAAGAAAGACGGGGATTCGCCCCTCGCGGCGTGCCTTCTTGCGTCCTCTTCCGTTCTTCCTTCGATTTTCGATCCGTCTTCTTCCTCGTGCGCCCAAGTCCTCGGCCTCTTCTTTTCCCTCGTCTGCTACCGGCGCCTCTGACTACGCCCGCACGCGTGCGAAAATGTCCCCTGCACTTAACCGAATACTCGTGCAAAGTTCCTCGCTCGTTGCTACTTTTACTTTGACAAGCTAGAACTTTTAATGTTTCCCTCACAACGGGTAATTTTTACTTCCCGTGTTGTTAAAATGAAAAACACTACTAATTGGCACTATCTCGCGACGACTAGCAAGAACCGTCTGTTCGACGCCGAATACTCCTACCTAGTAGTCGTTGCAGCGGCAAACAATATCTAAACTAATGTTTAACGAAATGTTGACTCGCGGCGAACGGTGATCAAAAGAGCAGTTGCTTACTCGACGCGTGGGTGACAAGAAAAGAGAGCTTCGCTTGCCGGTTTCGCGTATTTATGGTGCGGCGCCTGGAGAAAATTTTCCGTGATGGGGGGGTTGCTTCCCCTCTTTCAACCCTTCACAAAGAAAACATAGCTCGCTAGTTCGCATTCGTTTAGTACGGGCAACGGATACCAGGCCGCGCGTTTAAGTACCTCTGCCTTACACGCCTTTATCCTCGCTGCTTCCGTAGTGTTCACAACATGAGACGGTGGTGTCTATGGGGTTGCCACAATCCCATAACGCCACAAATATATATAATATATATATATATATATATATATATATATATATATATATTCTTTAAGTATTTACTATGATTGGTGTTATAACAAACTGAGTTTTAGACTGCTCACAAATGTGAAATATTTCACGTGTGATATCTGCATTAGCAATAATTCAATGAGCTCTATATGAATAATTGTTAAAAAGTTCAATTTTTTTCATTTATTTTTTAATATATATATTCACATCTAAAAATACTTACAAAATGGTGAGCTGCGGCAGCTCTGGGAAGTGCTCTCCAGTGAGGGTGAGGCCGTTGTGAGAGAGGTCCCTGCAAAATGCGTCTCATAGTTTAAGAGCGCGCACTGTTGCTCACTTGTCACGGCCTTTCTGCACCCCGAAAGCATTGAGTGCACTTACGATCTGCGAGTGTTCTTGTACAGACTTACTGCTAGACGAAAAGAATGTCTCGCTCAAGTCTCTAAACAAGATAAAATATGAGATGCTTGCATCATCGACGTATTCGTTTCAATATAAGTATTTGAACCGCCGACTTCAAATCGATTAATGAGTATTAACGAATGGTTACCGAATTGTATGTGCAAAGCAAATAACGTTCTTTGTTCTTAACATTCATTTAAACAAAATAAGTATTATCAATAGGAACGTAAACTTTTAATTCATTTTTTATAGAAAATGAATAATGATCAATTATTCATCAATCACAAATTCACGGGCCTGACTCTTAACACCACTCCACATTTGCGCCGTGTATGGGCGCGCATAGCCACTCGGCGGATGCACATTTCATTCGACTAATACTGACGACGACAGGCCTTAGCGTACTACGAAATAAAAATAGCTTAAATTTATTCTAAATGACTCAAAACGTATAAAATTTGTTGAAGCGAGATGTTTTATATAACAGAAATTATGCAAATGCATTTAAATCACAGCCCTTTTTATTACATACTCACCTTAACTCCAGTTAGAATAAAAAGAATTGGAATTTTATATTCGTATTATGAATATTTTTTTCGAAAGAAAAAACAACGCAATGTGAAAAGAATGTTACTCCAAAGTCATGCGCGAGAGTCACATGCCTCATTCCCTAAGAATAATTTAAATAAATGAAATTCAAGGCATTTTCCTTTCTTTATTACATGCATCGCGAGATGAACATAATAAAAACGGAAGAAAAACTTTCTTTAGATCCTTATTCATGCACTATTCAAGTGTTAGAAAAGCATTTTCTAAAAACAGGGTTGGAGCAACATATTGGAAACCTTCATACTTACTTTCTGAATATCTTCAACAAATATATGGACTATAAGCAGAGTATATAATAAGTTATGTTGCACTTCAAAAAATCGATGACTTAAATGTATACCTATTCGTTCGTTTGTGTGTGAATAACACAGCACCGAAATCGCACATACGAGTACAATTCGCTCTAAAGTAGAATGTCTTCCATGAATGTGGCTGAACTCACAGCCCTGCGAATTTCAAATTTATTTTTTAATATTTCGACTTAAACCTTCCTTTAATCTTCCTACGCCATTTCAAAAATCTTTTAAAATCAGTTTTAAAAGTTTTGCTCAAATAGAGCAGTGTATGCTTAAAAATGGCGGAGAGATCAGTTTAATCTCCGAATATCAGTCAAGTTTAGTAAAAGCAAAAACCTTTTTCGACCCTCTCCACTAACTACTATATTGAAAATAGAGAAATGTTTCTTAATGGCATCAATTCTTTCAATAATGACATGTACAATTTTTAATACAAATGAAAATGGATTGGGTAGTTTTGAGAGAAGTGTAATATTCAGAAAATACGTAAATGATATTTTCACAAAAACGACAGTATGCAATGGCATGCATTATTGTGGTAAGATGCAAGCAGATTGAAACAGGATGAACTGTCGGAAGAGACGGTATTGAATGAACTCGCCTCGGATATATTTGGCTCAACTGGACTGGATTAGACTGAATTAAACTGAGTCGGACTGTGTCGGACAGGATAGGTCTAGTTTGGATAGAGATGAACTGGAAGGGATTACAATTGACACAGATGGACGAGGCTGACCTGATTTGGCGTTAGAGTAGGACTGGAGAGGGCTAGAGTAGGATAGAGGTGGACTGGAAGGAATTAAATTGGGCGAGGGTGGGTAAGGCTAAGCTGACATACTCGTAGATTGCTTTAGAGTATATTTTACTGGGCTGGTTCCGTTGAATTGAACTGTGTCGGACTGAGAGGGAGTGGGTGTGTGTGGGTTGGATTGCGTTGGACTCGGTTGGCGTAAGTTGCACTGAGTTGGAATGGGTTGGAAAGTTTGGAATGGTTTGAAGTGTTTTGGACTGAAATCGCTTGGGCAGTTTTCTCTTGACAAACCTGAACTGGATTGCGCTGAATTTTGTTACATTGCACTGCATTTTGTAGGAAATATTACCGTTTGATGGAATTGACAAGGGATGATTAACTGCAGGGAGAGGAAGAGACGCGAAGACAAGCGTTCCCAAGCATGTAAGCAAGAGAGGGTGCGAAGCGTGCGGACGCCGCGAGGGCTCCGGGGACGCCGCTCACAGTAGTTTGAGGTGTCGCAGCCCGTTGAGCGCTCGCAGCGGCAGCTGCTGCAGTTGATTGTGCTCCACGATCAGCCACTTGAGGTGAACCAGGCCCTGCAGCAGGTGGCGGGGCAGCTTCTCCAGCGTGTTGTTCGACAGGTCCCTGGTCACGCCCACCAAAGCGTTCAATCATGCGACAGTGGGAATACACCAGTTGGTGGACAGTGGATTGAAATCCCTAGAATCTCTGTGGTGACATTCAGGGTGGGTCCGTGTATTGCTGAATTCCTTTCGGAAGAAAGGGCAGCCTCCGCAGTGTTTTTCGACAGATCCCTGGTCATGCCCACCAGAGCATTCACGCATGCGAAAATGGAAATACATCGGTTGTTGGACGATTCATAACCTTTCTGAAATACCTAGGACCTCTACTTTTGCGTTCAGGATGAGTCTGTGTATTGCGGAGTTCGCTTTAAAGATAGTGCGTCCGTTTACGGCCGAATATTTCACCCCACTTGAGCGTAAGCACAGTCGCACTGCGTCTCACGTGATCTAGCAAACAAAGCCGATCTTTCAAGGTCCTTCTGCCGAAAGTGGTATTAATGGTCTTGAATTATTTCGCCGAAGTAAGCGTTTTGTTAGTTTGTATGTTAAAAGTCTAGTGAAAGATCTCAATTTCAGTTTTCTGAAATTATCACAGGAAATTGCGGAAGAAATTATTGAAACAGGTTGCTGATAGTTTCTGCTAAACAGGAGCTTAACACATTCGATCATATAGATGTTTCAGATACGTCATCCTCATTTTACTGCTGTGTCCTACAGACGTATGTCATAAGTCCATCTACATTTATCGTCTTTAACAGGCTATAAACGTCTCTCGAATTTTTTAGGTATCTAGAATACATCATATTAATATCATTAAGATGGTCGCAGGACAAGCTTCAATGTGTGCCTCTATTTTTTTTAGGTATTTGCAATTTTCTAGGAAGTGATATAAATATTTGTACTTGTAGGCATTGTCGATTACGTTCAGAACGCATTTTCTTGTAAGAAGTGTTCGTGCTATTAGCGACATATGCAGATGTTTAGAAGACCTAGATGTAAAATTGACAGCAACTCTCAACATTAGAAGTTCAAGAGTTTTTGAAAAATGTATCAGAACTGGATTCTTCCGATGAGGACGACTATTTTATTCCTGGACTGGTTAGTTTGAGCAATGAAACTTATATCGAGGAAAGTAATAATGATGTGAATGATTTCATAGTGTACAGTACATAGTGTACAAAGCATAGTGTACAGAGCATAGTGTACAGAGCATAGTGTACCGAACATAGTGTACAGAACATTGTGTACAGAACATTGTGTACAGAACATTGTGTACAGAACATTGGGTACAGAACATTGTGTACAAAACATTGTGTATAGAACATAGTGAACAGAACATAGTGTACATTACGTAGTGTACTGAACGAAGAGTACTGAATGTAGAGTACAGTACGTAGTACATTGTTCATAGTGTGTAGTACATAGTATATAGTATAAACTGCATAGAACTTGTAAATAGTTCGTAGTGTGTAGTACATACTGTATAAAATGTAGTGTATAGATATAGTTGATACACACTACATAGTGACCGCACTTAGTGTTTCCATAGACTGAGTACTCACAGCGTTTTGAGGCGGCGCTGCTCGCGCAGGGCGTGTTTGTGGATGCTGTGCAGGCCGTTGCCGCTCAGCACCCTGCGCAGCAGCCCCGCCACACCCGTTCGCCCTCTGCCCAACGCCCTCCGCTAGCCCCGCCACGCCGCTCCTCGCCAACGCGCGCCGCGCCGCGCTACTCACAGCCCCGTCAGGTTGTAGTGCGCCAGGGAGATCGGGCCCAGGTGTTGGATGTTGTTATCGGGCAAGATCCTGAAGCGCAGGGAATCTTTTTAGTGATAGAGATTGCACAAGGACCTCTTTTCTCCATGTCTCACGTTTTATACGTCTAGGGCATGTGTGGGAATGTTTTATGCTTCTAGGGGTAAGCTGACCTCTTTTTTTGCCAATAAACAGTTGATGAGAAATTTCATACAACGCAATTTCATATGCGTAATTTTCCCTTGACAGTTAGGCACTGCGGTTTTACAGATTAGCGAACATTAACATTTTGACTGCGTCAGTACGTGTCCTGGCCAACATGAGTGTATGAGATGTTGCCTAACAATCATGAGCAAATGCCACATGAAATTGTGCTTTAAATTTCCCCCATCTCATGGTTTGATTGATTGATTGATTAGTGATCAGGCTGGTCAACGGCTAAGGTCATTAGTACCGTAAATGTAGTGCATGTTTTTCCTCGGGTAGAATAGCTAAAGTGTAAAAAATATATTCCTCAGAATACCAAAAAAGATCAACTTTTGAAAGAATTAAACATATCAAGTAACAGCAAACATATCGCCATCTCCGTTAATCCTTTTTACACTATCCTAAAGACAACAAACCAAGCCGTCCCCTACAACCTGATCACATTAAATGACTTTTCAACAAGAATTAAAAACGGATTACCTTTTGAAGGTATCTTGAATTTTTTAAGTAAATGCTACTACTGAGGGCTCTTCTAGTTTCATACACCATGTGTAATGTAATCAGTTGGATATCATAACTTAGCATGTATACCATCACAATATACGAATCACCCATTTGAATTACACAACAACAATGAGCTATGATATTGAAGTCTTACGAAGCCAAGAGAGCTAATCGCCATTTTGTCGGAAAATAAATAAAAAGTATAGTATTCATATTCTTGTCATACAAGCAGAGCCATCTGTAAGTAGATGTTACAACTTCTTGAAGGTGTTTGGGATATTGCAGGGCTCTTTGCAGTATTTGTGTGATATTTAGATATAAAAATCCTTCATTTCGAAAAGTTTGGTACTTAGATCCTTTGGCTTTGCCAGGCCCCAATTATCCAACATTCAACAAATTGAAACAAAATCTGAAGTCGCGTGGCGCGGAGAGGAACTCACAGGCGCTCGGGCAGCCGGTCACCGTGCAGTATGGGTGGCTTGCGCAGCCCGAGGCCCTTGCAAATGAGCTGAGTAGTGTTGCGGCAATGGCAGCCCAGTGGGAAGCCCTCCAGGTCTGCAACACACCTCCTCATGCTCACGTGCTCAGCGTTTCGGTCACTTGAACACGCGTGCCCGATTTTCATTGATTGACTGGTCGTTTCGGACGCGTCAACTACTAAGGTCATTAGCCCCGTAAGTGTAGTTCATGTTTTCATCGCGGGAAAAGGCGGTGTTCTTTCCCCTCTGGCTGGCGACCTACGCCGACCTACGTGGACTTGCGGGGTTTCCCTACCCAGGTATCTCCCCATCAGCGTGGGAATGACCTAGCCGGGACAAGATCTAAGCTCCCGACGTATGATACGAGTAGTGTAGGGCATGCGATTATGTCTGTTAGTAAGAGGAGAGGTTAGGGAGTTTCATAATTTTTAGTTTTCAAGTGCCTTAAAGAGACAGCAAAGGGTCACTTTCTTACTCTGTAATTGCCTGTGGTCTACTATCAGTAAAGGAAAGGAACATAAATGGAAAGAAATGAGGGTACGGAACGAAGTTTAGCGATGCAACAATGGTGGAATAAATCCTCATTGTCCATCGCAAGTTGGTAACGGAATCACTAGACTTCGAAGGCCAACGCTAATGAAAGAACGCTAAAGAAAATCTAACGATACTTGAAGGACATCTCCTGTAATAAAATATAATATTATCCGTTTAAAATCTAACTGAGCTTAAATCGTTTATTGTTTCGAGTTCCGATTTACCCTGTCAGGAAGGAATGGTAAGATACACATCTTCTCGAGATCGTTTCCTTTTCATTTCGTGCGAACAAATAAGCAAAACTAAAGTCAAACCCATTTCAAAATCCTATTTAAAAATAAGTATTTGTAAACTAAGGACGACCACGGAAATAAAAAGAAAAAAAGTTCAGAGACTCACCGCATTTAGACCAGTCGGGACCACGGCCAGCTCGTCGGAACATCTTGTCAGTCTCATTCCAACCATGTGCATCCCCTGCAAGATCAAAATACACAACGCAGGTACTTGCACCTTACTAGACAACCTTGCTATTGTTACATTGTACACAATGTTTTTCGTTCTAGTGGAAGGTCAAGAAGATATTTGGGGGGGGGGGTCTTAATATTAAACCTTAATGAAATTCAAGGAATAAAAGCAATCAATCAAAACGTTTCAAATAACGTGTCGGTTAAAACAATATTCTGTTCATAACACAACAACAACCGATTTCAGTTCCGGTTTTGAAACTGCTTCAAACGGTTTTCTTGTATTTTTATTAAAACTCATATCTGACCTCGATCCACAATGTAAACCTCATTGACTTGCTCATAACATGACGTCCAGTGCCATGGCGACAATTACTCCGTCTACATCGGAAGCTACTCCACATATACTTGCGAGAAACTTGAAAACATCTCAATGTCAATACAAGAGGAATCTGTAATTAATTAATATGTAGATCATATTACAAAAATTGTTTGTATGCATTTTGTTGTATAATTTAATTGTTTATATTACAAAACAAAATGAAAACGTTACGAAAACACTGACTAAAGCTTACACGTTGGGTACTTTTCCTGGAAACTTTCACTTGCGGGTGGATGATGAAACTCCTTTTAGAAGTGTCCACCTGTAAAAGATTTGGTGACCACCTTCTCTTATATAGACTTTCAATGGCATCGATATTTTGATGAAATTGCATACCAAGTTCGTCTCTCACATGTACACATATCTTTCAATGCAAGCGGAGGTGCCTTCTCATTACCGGTCAGCAACTTTTCAAAGGTAATATCTTTCATCAGACCATGGGCCTGAGGCACAATGAAAAATTCTTCTTTAATTTTTGCAGAAATAATTGCAGGAAATTTGGATAGTAAAAAATGAAAACCCTGGCAATCTTTGTCCATTGCTTTCACAAAATTTTTCATAATGCTCAATTTCAGATGGAGTGGTGGTAACAGAACACTCTTTGTCAACAAAGGGTTCATGCGACACATTTATTTCACCAGGATTGAAAATTTATTTCAAAAGTCACTCTACCACTAAAAATGGTCTTTCCTTACCCTACTATCCCAATGACACAAAAACAGCAATATTTTGTGTCCAGTCTGCATTCTTAGAAGAAAATAGACGTTACTCTTTCGAATTTTGAATTATCTCAAATTTCGTAAGCAGGCCATTTATGTAATTATAATATACCATTACACTATATTACAATATGTCAATACAGTATATAGTGTTGTAACAGGTTATTTTCGTGAACACGAGACTCAAGTAATTATGCTTGTCTTTTTGAAGATTTAGATCTCTTACAAGATCGTTCAATTATGCCTGCGACATTGGCTGTGGTTGTAGCCGTCCTGCAGATGGAATGAACTCAAGATCTTCGCTGGTTTGTCACTACCATTGTATATTTTGTCTTTCCAGTGTCCATTTCGTTGATGGTTTTGGTACAGAGGACGGGCGCATTACAGATTCGAAATTTGGATAAGAAACTGTGTTTTTCTTATTAATTAATCTGTAACTTGCAGGTTACACCTTTTCATTTCAATTCAAAAAGCATGTGTATAGCATTATGGAAAGCACTTCACAGCATTAAACAAGCTTCATTTCCTGACGGGTATTGCAACTCTTTCTTGCATTATTTTACAACTTGTTTGAAAAATAAAAAAAATAACAAAAAAATATAATTGTCACTAACATACAAGGCAATCGTAAACTATTACACCAGCACTAAACTGAAAGATTTGAAAGTGTTTGGCTTCTCCACTTTGATTCGACAGCCGTCGGCTCAGAAACTTTTCGTCGCTTACCGCACATGCGCAGGTTCTCGTCCTCGCCGTTCGCGCAGTCGTTGTGGCGGTTGCACACGAAGTGATGCGGCACGCACTGGCTGCTGTTGCCGCACCGGAAGCTCCCGCTCCCGCACGACCCTGCGAATGAGGCCAAATAGATGAAAATGATAACATAAATAGATCACTAGAGAGGGACAGACAGACTGAGAGATATTGATACAGTGTGTGAGTGATAGAGAGAGATAGAGGGTGAGAGAGAGAGAGAGACAGATAAAGAGGATGAGAGAGAAAGTGAGAAAACGAGAGACATATAGAGAGTGAGTGTGTGTGAGAGATAGAGAGTGAGTGAGAGATTGTGTGAGAGATAGGGAGAGATAAAGAGAGTGAGAGAGGGGAGAGAGAGAGGGGGAGAGAGGAGGAGATAAAACGGGTGAGAGAGAGTGAGTGAGAGAGAGAGATAGCGAGGGAGAGAGAGACAGGATGTGTGAGAGAGAGAGATAGATAGATAGTGAGAGAGATGATGAGAGAATGTGAGAGAGAAAAAGGGGATGAGAGGGAGAGACAGATAGGTAGTGCGTATGTGTGTGTGAGAGAGAGAGCGAGAGTGAGATAGACAGATAGGTAGATAATGTGTGAGAGAGAAAGAGAGACAGCTAGAAAAAGAGAGAGTGTGTGTGAGACAGAATAAAATTAAAAACTGCCATAGCCTGGGGGCATTCACGGAGGATTCTCATGAAGCGTCAGCCCCTCCAAACGCCAATGACATACCTTTCTTCAGTAATAATCAGGCATACGTCACTCTCGGTTGGACCCCTTCCTGTACATCAATCGAGACAATCGAGATGTGATTCGACGTGTCTCACTCTCCGGGTGAGGAACTGATGATTAGTTTGCGGATATATCGAGAAGATTCTACGTAATGCCCAAAAACGTAATGTTAGTGCTTTTTTAGCGCTGCGATCTAACGCTGGCCGTAAGAATCACGTAACACAGTGTCACCGCACCCGGGCCATGCCCAGGTGTTGAATGACACAAGAGTGTGCCACTTGGTCGCCGCTGTCCGCAGCATGAGGTGCAGGACGTATATCACTCGGAACTATCCGTACGAGTACGTCAGGGCCAAACCGTAGGATATTTATCGTTTTATAATGTAACTTAGTAGCGAGCGAACGTGGTGGAAGATATTTGGGGACGGGCAATAAGGGATTTGCTACAGGATACCGCCTCGCCTCATGAGGAAAAGAAGGGTTTTTCCTAAAAGCAATCACGTGGCGAAGGGAGACACGAGGCTTTGGGGTCCTCCGGTCGTGACGTAGTAGGTCACGTGAGCCTCGAGTATATAAGGGAGTGCACAGAGCCAGTGGGAGAGTTCTGGAGACAATGGGAGAACCTAGTGCAGATGCACAAACGTGGCGCCACGACGGTGCAGCGGCGAGAAGGGCTCGCCAGGTAAGTCACATGTTGAGCCTATGGAGGACTTTGTGTTATTGGGTGACTGCGGTCACGTGGGTGCGATGCTGTGTGCGTGAGGTGAGGAGTGGTTGAGAGCCACGACTCGCACAGATTCTCAATCGGGAGAGATCGCTCCTGCGATTAAGGCAATCCATCAGTTGGTACGCCGGTACGGACTTTGTCCTAGTGTACCATCCGGTCAGGGAAGCTTGGCTTTGTGCGCGCTTCAGATGTAGGAGTGGCGAGTACACAATTGAAGCCGATCATCAATCAGGTTTGGATCGCTTCCGCGATCAGGGGATAGTAGGTCTATAAGAGCTAGGGTGTAAAGTGGAAATTCATTGTAAATATTGGTTGTGTTTTTCTTGTAAATAAATATTTGTTGATACGAATTCTCGTGTCTGTGTTCGCTGTGAGAATCCATTACATCAAAATAGGATAGTTTTGTTATGTGTAGCATATACAATACTGCTAATGAGACAATCACCTTTTGTAGGTTATTTCAACTAAAAATTACATTCCAATATAAATCTATGAAAAACAAACTTAATTTTGTAGAATAGGATCTTGCAAAAGTGCATTCTTTCTATAATAAGCCGCCTTGTAATACACTGAAAGGCCATTCCAGGTGGCTGAAACCGCTAAGGCAGAAGTGCCGTGGCGATTTCATGCTGAAGGATCGCAGTTTTGAGTCCCACCTAGAGCATGATGGTATGAAGGTACTGAAGGCATGATGGTACTGAAGGGCCAAAATCTGGTACACCTGCCTAATATCGTGTAGAGCCCCCGCAAGCGCGCATAAGTGCCGCAACGTGGCATAGGCACTGACTAATGTTTGAAGTAATGTTGGAGGTAATTCACACCATTAATCCAGCAGGGCTGTCCATAAACTCGTAAGAGTGCGAAGGGTTTGAGATCTCTTCTGAATAGCGCGTTGCAAGGCATCCCAGATATGCTCAATAATGTTCATACGTGGGGATTTTGGTGGCCAGTGGAAGTGTTTAAATTCAAAAGAATGTTCCTGGAGCCCCTCTAGCAATTCTAGATATGTGGGCTGTCGTTTTGTCTTGCTGAAAATGCCAGAGTCCGTGGGGATGCACAATGGAAATAATGGGTGAAGATGTCCAGACAGGATGCTTGCGTACGTGTCAATGTCAGAGTCGTAATTAGACGTAACAGGGATCCATATCACCCCAAGTGCATACACCCCATACCATTACAGAGCGTCCAGCAGCTTGAACAGTTCCCTGTTCACGTGAATGGTCCATGGATTAATGGTCATATTAGTTCTATACGTTCATCCGCTCGAAACAATGTGAAACGAGACTCGTCAGACCAGGCAACGTCTTTTCAGTCATCAACAATCCAATGTCGGTGTTGACGGGCTCAGACGAGGCGTAAAGTTTTGTGTAATGCAGTTATCAAGGGTACCCGAGTGGTCCTTCGGCTCCGAATCCCCATATCAATAATGTACCGATGAATCGTTGGCAAACTGACACTTCCTGATGGCCCAGCATTGAAATCTGCAGCATTGCTCTCACTTGTAATTATTCTCCTCAGTCGTTTTCAGTCTCGTTCTTGAACGATCTTTTTGCGGCCGCAGCGATTCCGGAGGTTTGATGTTTTACCGGATTCCCGATATTCCCGATACACGCGTGAAATGGTCGTACGAGAAAATCCAAATTTCATCGCGACCTCGGAAGTGCTACATCTCAACTATCTTGCGTTCAAACTCACTTAAATCGTGATAACCTGTCATTGTAGCTGCATTAATCGACCTTACAAGTATGCCGGAAGCTGGTTGACATTTTTATAGTCGTTGCCTACCGAAGCTCCGTATTGTGATTGGCTCCATATCACTTTATTGCAATACGCATGGAACCACCAGATTTTTTGGCTCTTCGGTGTATTTGTGTTCGTCTTTTCACCTCACATCAAAACTCTATAACTTCATTTACTATTCCCTGCAAAAGTGCAGGAGGCCCTTGCTCTTAACGGGATTTTAGTTGGCTAAAAAAATCCCTGAAAGAATAACTTCAGAACAACTCTTCTGGGAGCGAGGAGATCCGACACGGTATTTCGGGATGGGTAGCTCTGTGGTGACGCGATGACTCATCCCTTTCTTCACCGACTGCCTGACCCACCCCGCCGCACGCTGATAGCGCGGCGCCTACATTTTCGCGCTCCCCAAGCTCCCGGCTGAAGCACACTATGACATTGGACCCTTGATCTCAGCGGCGCCCATATACCCGCGGGCGCGGCTTCACTCGGGGCAGTCTCCAGCGACTCTCCAGAAAGCGAATAACCATGGCCTCCTAACGGCAACCAGGCGCTCTGATCCGGGGTACTGGAACTGTCACGTGGTTCCTCGCGATCCGGAGGGCACGCTCGCCCGAAGTGAATCACCCTGGCCTCCTGGCGGCAACCAGGCGCCAACTAGACGCGTGGATAGAGGCGCCGCCGCCAGCCGTGCCGCCAACCGCCACCCACACTGCCGCCTCTCTGAGTGACTTGTCCGCGGCCCTTCATCATGTAAGTATATCATTCTGTGTGTTAGGTGTTATAAATAAATAGGTCATTAACTAGGAGTTGGCCTCATTTCTTAGTACCCCCTCCCGCTCCCTCATGTCGTCGGCATCACGTCTGCTCGAAAGAACATCCGACAGGAAGAATTGCGACCACACAGTTTGTGAATTTTTTATTATTTAATTTGTATTTATTAATATAATATTTTACGTACTACGCCCGAGGATGGAAGAAACAGGTAACTGATTTTTAACTTATGAAAATATTATTAAAAAAGTTTGAAGTATCGGCCAGTACGAATTCTTATATAGCAACAGAGAACTCGGCGTCTGTCCATCATTCACGGTTAGACCACTTTCCGTCAACCAATGAAGACAAATGAAGTGATATTCGTTACGTCTCGGTCTCGATCGATGAATGTTCTTTACGGCTCTATTCACAAGTTTATAAGAAATGTGTCCAAAAACTTGATTGTGCGGTTTTAGAGCTGCGATCTAGCGGTGGACGCGCGAACCACATGGTCACGCGCTACGGCACCCAGGCAAACATAGCCAGGGGTTGAATAACACAAGACTATTGCACTGTGACACAAGATTGACTATAAGAATGGTACGGTATGTTTTAGACAAGATGAATATTGAGATAAAGCAACTAACAGGAGCTTTCATTGTCATATTTACCAAAACGTTCCGAGTTTAAAAACATTTAAAATGGACGAAGTTCTTAAAATAGTGACAAAGATAATCAACTTTGTTCAATTGAGAACACTTAACTATCGCTTATTTACTTTCCTTAAAGGTTTATAGTTCCTTATTAAACAGAAGTTCGTTTAACTTGTAATCAACTTGAAGTCTACATGACTTTTTATGTGTTAAACTCTTTTTATGGACTACTAGACAATGTCATCTATGTTGACTATTTAATACATCGCATCAATTAATTTCAAAATGGTGTTAATGTGTAAGTAGTAGTGTAATTGAAGGAATACTTTTATACTCGTAGTTGAAGCTTCATTTCGATTCAAGAAGTCAAAAAAAGTGTAGAAACATATTGAAGACGTTTCGTCAGCCAGATAATCGTAAGTGCTAAAAGACCATTGGAAAACAATATATGGATATAATACAAAACTTTTAAAAGTATGAAATGAAAAGACAAGAAATGAAAACTTATCCTTATCAATGACATAGAAAAAACAATAAAACGATACCATAATATAATATTAAACATGACACAGAGCAAATAATTTGGCATATATTTGAAAAATACAAAAAGATAGGTCAAAATTTCAGAAAAAAGCAAAAATCGGTAAATACTACGGGTAAACATTACCCAAAACACCGGAAGAGCACACATAATTAAATTAACGACACTTTTTGTTTTAACTTTTTTATAGATTTGACACACTAGAGACTTTTATTTTCGTACAATTCTAGTCTTAATTTTGAAAATATCCCTACGTTCTGAAGTATTGGACAGATCCCACATCAAAGTTCACAAATCGCCAATCTCCTCCCCCTGAAAAAAAAATATAGATTTCTTAATGTAATGTAAGTTGTCTACACATTGTTTACGATTAGAAATAAATTTCGAAACTTAACGCGTAAATACTCTGCACTGCATAAAACTAAAACAACAGAAATTCCCATATTTAACTATGAAGTGGCGCCTGAACGAGCGGCACACCCTATAACCAAAGCTGGTGTGCGGGTTGCCAGTGATGACGTCACCGCCAGGCGTACACCAACGAAAGAATCTCTCGGGAGCCGAAAATGCCTACCACACTTCTAAATGTCAAACAAGAACGACATTAAAATATAAATAATATAAAACTTATATTTATGAAACAAAAACAAATGGAAAATAAATTTTCAAATGAGTTCCCTTGGTATGGAGGGGAAGAAAGAGGTGGATAGAGAGAGGAAGAGAGAGGAGGATAGAGGGGGAGGGGGAGAGGGTTGAGAGAGAGGGAGGGGGAGAGAAGGAAAGAGAGGGAGAAAGAGTCAGAAACTGACCTTATCTTTTTAAATCCAATGCTGTTTCCACATTAGAAGAATATCTTAGAAGCAATTTTTGGAAGGAACCCCATGTGTGTTGCACATTTTGTCGGAAACGTTCTAAGTCAGGTTTCAGCAAACCTGTTTATTCATTTTTAGCTTTATTTACAAGTGGCAAAATGTGAATATGAGTCCAGTTTGTATTTTGTGTTTCGATGAATTTAAAAAAATGAAGTAATTTCACATCGTCAAGTTGATTCACGTATTCAAGTCGATTTTAAAGGCATCGAAATTGATCTTACTACTTTTCTGGCGAAAATCTCCCAGCAAAAATACTCAATTTTCTAGCAAAATTGCTTCGAAAAAGTCGGACATGTAAACCAGATGTCTCTGCATTCAACTGTTTGACTAACACAGGACACTAACGATCAAGACAATTATTTTCTTCTTGAAAGGGTTAAAATATGTATTTTAAAATTCGCTCATTGCAAAATTGTTTTAAAATTTAAAAAAAATATGACATATACCCTGTCTTCAAGGCACAGTTTATTGCTCGGCTTCGATATCCTACGCCTCGCTCCTAAACACTAATGCTTACTTTCCAGGACTAGTATTATAAATAAATGTTATCGGCCAGATCCGGGTTAGGTACATAAAAGATAGAACGCCCACTCCGACATTCCTGCAATAAGGAAATCCAACAAAAAGAAAAATTCAAAAGAAATACAAATTAATGGATCTAAAAAATGGCAAAGATATTGTAGTATCAGTACAAATAATATTTAATAGAAGTACGTGCTCTCCATTACGTTCGGGCAGGGCTTCACCCCTCCCTCTTTCACGCTTCTGTAAAAGTAAGTTACTGCGGAAATTTTTTAACACTCGTTTTTTGTCAATCAATGTAATAAATGTTTTCAAAAAAAATTTACATATGGTACTAGAGCACGACTTTATTCATCCAGGACGTAATTCAAAAACATGTTATTTTCAGCATTCGCATCATTTTATTTATTGGCGTTGCGCCAACGACAAAATGATCCTAAAGAACTCGCTATCCTGAAGCCTCCGGGAAATTAAACGCCCACACAACATGCAAATGAGTAAGGTTTGTGGAACATTCGGGAGAAGTTATAATGACAAGAGATATTCGTTCCCGAAGCAGCGTATTTCTAGAACACAATATCCACTGTTTTTGTCTCCCAGGGGAACCAGGAATAATTATTCCATGTCTGTATTATGCAAAATGAACACCTCTAATATTTGCACGTGCCCCAAAACAGAGTCATATAGCGACCTGTACATTCGTATGAATTAATTCTCAGAACTCTAAAATATATTCCAATTATTCTGTTTTTCCTATTTTCGACTGTTGGATGAATAATCTAGTGAGTATTTAATTTTAGCTGAGGCGCGGTGTCAGGCTGAAAGTGTTAAACTTGGGTTTCAGGTCTAGAAAGTATTAAAAGGACTACAAGAGAGCGACATTATACCAGACACGATTTTTGGATTTCTTTCAATGATGCAGACGGATTTTGTTTGCTCACAAGTAATTCCATCCTGCTTTTAGCGTTACCATCGATCCCTTTTGAGAACAGAATTCTTTACACAGGTGTACGATGTGGCCCTGATCGTCGCTGACGATTGCACATCTTTAAAGAAGGATAAAATAAAAGAGCCATTTCACTGTGCTCATTCCAAGATTCGAAAGAATAGATAAGACTACAATAGCATTTTGATGAGACAGCGTCGCGAGTTTTCAGTAGTGACACTGAAAAATAATAATCCCGATAGTTGTACTGTACAAAAATGTCTGTCTGTGTTCAATGAGGAGTGCAAAATAATAGTTTTTTAAGTAATTATAGTTAAAACGAATACTAGTATTAATGTTGGTTTACGGATTTATTATTAGTATGAAAGTTTTACAATAAATAATTTTTATTGGTCATTTTACATCGTTTAGAAACCTTTTTGTACCTCTATTTTATTCAGAACAAATGTCTTTTTGCATGCTTATTTTGGTAAAAATAATTACATTTTCGCCTTCCCGTTTAAAGTAATGCTAGGATATCCGGTTTCAAATGTTATAAGATCCTAAGCTAGATGGAGATTCGCGTATCTCTAAAAATCATTAAAATCGCTTGAGCCATCTGGTTCGCTGTCACCAATTGTGTTCTAAGTTTTTCTTCTAATAAGAAGCGTCGATGAGTAACAAGCCATTTTATTGTACCACAGCCGTAGCCGTATGAAGTTCTTAATATTCGTGCCAAATGTTGACACAATTCACTATCTCTGGAGGATGATTCTAATGATTTTTACAATTTATAAGAAAATATCTTGAAACAAAGTATATAAAATCAAAATTGTGAATAGTAGTTTGCTAATTCTTGTATATCGGTATTAACATAACGAAATTAAGAGTGCCTAATACACCTCGCCAACGAGGAAAAAACATCAGTGCTACCTGAAGCACATCTGGAAAAAGTGGAGGATTCTTATTTGCTTTAAATACACATGACAGGGGTCTTTTAATAGAGAGGTGCACAACGCGAACCTCATTTCATAATTCATATATAAAGAATAATTTGAAAATATCATTGATATTTCTATCGCCATTATATAACACGAACGGCCACTTTTTTAAATTAAATTGGGTCAAACATGTTGAGAGTGTCAAATATCGAGTGGTCATTACTAAATCAAGTACATGCCAATTATCTAAATTATGCAATTTTGAAGTGGCCACTACTGAATCAATAAGTTTAAAAAAATCTATTCTGGAAGGAATATGATAATTACCCCCAAGTTTCACACAATGAATCTATTACTACAGTTCAAGAATTTTAAGAGCACTGTAATAACTTTCTTTTATACGGCAACTTCAAATGTTTTAGTTTCTTGTCAAATCAACCTCGTCCTCGTAAGAACTTCTAGGCTTAAATAACGAAGTACAGCGATAACTGAAAGGAATTTGTAACCGGGCGTACAAGCTCTGTAACTTCCGGAAGGAACGAAATCGCGCTCCTAA